ACAGAGTGGATCTTGAGACATAAAACAAAAACTAATTAATATACGAGCCGTACAACAACCACAGCACTACCACAGCATCCTCGCAAGACCCCCAAGATGGACAAATGAAGGCAATGGATGTGGCTCGCCACACTGTGACGCTAGCCCAGTCCTTTGCAGTCCAATTCATCACACGCCTTGGATGCCGCCACGCGGGCAAACCCCCAGACATAGCGGGAATGTGGACGACAAGATGGTGCAATGCATGCCGAGATTCTGATAGTAAGTGCTCATCATCCGAGAGCTACTCTCATCAACAAACGCAGCGATTGCGGTGGCTACAGACAAGCGCAGAAGGGTGCTCGTTCGCCACCTCGGCTTGGCATGACAGCAGCGGCTCTTTCTCTCACCCAACCCATGGCCAATGCAGCAGGCCAGAGCACACTAAGGTGAGAAGCAGCTGCTGCCGAGAAGAGGGGACAGGACCCACCATGCAACAGTAACTGGGACAGGGCGTTTTGGTTTCTTACGTTGTTTTTTTCTTCATTGCGCTTGTATTTTGCAGTTTTGGAAGCTGTCTGGAAATGCACCAATTCCAGTTTGCTGCTGATTCGCATTCGCTTAGAACACGCGAACCACAGAATGTCATGTGCGGTGATTTCAGCTGCGCCAAGGCGAACATTGCTTGCTGGTGTTGGGGGACACTGCATATCATAAATGACGAAGTGCAACATGTTTGCATTCAGTTGGGTTTTGGGGCATGTGGGGACTGGGCTCTCAGGGAAGCGCCACTTCTGCAATGCCGCTGGGCATCAGGCAAGAGTTTGCCCCAAAGAACGAGGCTGGGGCAAAGGCGCCAACACCCCACAGATGAGCTCTACTGCGAGGTATGCCACCACCGAGCGGTCAGCGGAGCATATGGAGGCTGTGCCATGTGCCAAAGTAGGCAAGCACATGTCGGATCCGACCATATGCCGGCAAGACTTGCAGTTCCGCCATAGAAGCAACAAAGCGCAAAGCGAACAAATGATGATCTCTAAAATTGGACCTCCATGTGAAGCCTCTCTGATGTCACACCTGCTTTCCGTGAAGATACTCTTTTACTCGAATCGACTCCAGTCAGGGTTCCTTTCTTTCACTTCTCATGCCTCTCGCCTCTGCATCATCTCAAGTGTCTTCTTTCTTTGCGGGTGCCCCGAGGTGGTGCGAGCAAGGTGCAGGATTGGTAGCGGGGTCCATGGCAAGAAATTTCCTGGGTCATGTGTGGCACAATGCACAAGCTTACAAGCTTGCAAGCAACCCGGGGGCCATCCAAGTCCAGAGCTGAAGTCCGCAGTAATCTGCCTCTTCTCTGGAGGCAGGGTTTCCGGAAAGACCAGAATGCACCAAGCAATGCAAACCGGAACAAGGCCTTGGTTCAACACTTTACTTCGAGCACGGATAGCAGAAGCAGTGCTGAAGTGCTGACACCACACCGCATTGCAGCGTCGCAGCGCGGGCCACTAGCAAAGCCACCAGCAAGATCCAAGCAAACAATCATCATAATAATGATTGTGATTATTCTTCGTCCACGTCACAACTCGCAATGATGAATGTGTGCTCCAGGGTGAGGTGCATTCCAGTCAGCAAGCCTTCTCGTTTGTAGTCATGATATGCTGCATTGACACATCCTCTCCCTTTTCAGGAGTACGAAAAGGCCTATCACATATGCCACCGTGTCCAAGGATGAGATGAGAGCTATACCTGCAGCAATGGGAAGCATGTGATTCCGACGAGCCAGGAATGCGAGAGCAAGCAAATCTAGCTCCTTGCGCCTGCCTGCTGACCTGTCCTGGCTTTCCAAGAGGTCCACGCACGTGGAGTTCAGAATCGTGGTGACGAGCTGCAAGGCACGACAGATGGCTGCACAACAATGTAAACGTTCACACATGTTCTCCGTCCTAGGTCCTAGCAGCCTTCAGACGATGTGTGTGCCCAAAAAAGGCCTGTGAATTCAGGAAAGGGTTCATGGCCTGGGCGTCGGCACACAGGGCAAGGTATCCCAGGTTCCACCATGAGAGAACCCAAGCATCATCTTGAGGCCGGGGTGCAATGGCGATCCAATAGGTAACGTCGCAAAAGACGAACCTTTCATAGGGCTAGTGGCTCACAGCATGCAAGACGAGCCAGCAAAAAACCGCTGTCCAATCAAGGCCCTTCGAATTACTTTGAGTACATCAAGAGGAGATTTTCACGAACCCAGAGGATTTCAGTTGAATCCGTCTTTTACTGGCGGCCAGCAAGCAGCTTGGCTAAGCAAGTTTGCTTTCGGTCTGTGTGGCATGGATCTTGCGGTCAAAGAGCAGGTCCGTAAATACCAAGCTCGAGTTTACGAGGCAATAGACCTGAGCATGTCCAACCCTGATGGAAAGGCGGCAGGCCGCAGACTTCTCAGGCAACCGCTTGCGTCTACAAAGTGATGATGACCACATGCGAAGGACATAACAAGGCGCGCTGGATCCGCATCAAAAAACCTCTTTTCGAAAAACCTCGTCTCGAAGCCTTAAAGAAATACATGCCCAAGCACCTGAGCACGCCACTGTTAAACGGATGCTACTAGTACTTGGACTCCGGTACTGCCAATGCAGCCAGCTGCTATCAGAAGCGTCCGTTTCCGGCCATATGCATCACTCATAACCCCAACTAATGGCCTTAGTCATCTGCAAATCACTGCCCACAAGGTGACAACTGAACGGTGATGACAGGGACTGCGCAAAAAAATCATTCTTGCAAATCAAGTCTGCCAAGATGCAGGGTGAGAAATTGGCAGCAAGGCATTATGAACGCTAACCTTGCAAGCCAAGGGTTCTGCTTTGGCTCTCGACAAGCCTGGAAGGCTCCTGGCTGTCCCAATGCCAAGCAAGCGACGCAGTGAGTAAGCGATTGCCATCCACAAGTGCCAGCTGGCAATACATCGGACCTGAATGCTGCGACAGCAGATACAAAGTGCAATGATGCCGGCGACGTTGATCGGTGATGACCCGTATAGAGCCAGCATATCCAAAGTACACGCCAAGATGCTCATGTCAATGTGACATTGGATCTCGTGATGCGGAATATCCGTATGCCGCTGGGCGAAGAAATTCAGGCTGAGATAAGTGCCTCGATTGTCGTTGGGCCCTAGACTGCACAAGCTCTCTGGACCACAGCAACAGTTTCAGCTGAGATTCTGAGGGGTGTAAGCATGCCACTCCCTGCCAACATTATGAGCAGCTGGTGCGTGCTACTCCCAACCTCTGGGCCATTCTGGCCTATCGAGGCAACGAGGGTCCAGGGAACGATGCTGCCCAAGGCCTTGGGAAGGGTGCTACTTGCACACCCGCAGAAGCAGGACCAGCTTTGATAACCTGAGAAGCTTGTGATCTTTGAGGTGGACACGACAAAGATCTCGAAGGTGTTCTTGCTGCGGGCCTGGGCGGCCTGGGAATTGGAATCAGGCTTACCTTCGCTGCGCATGGCCGCCCATTCGTGCTGTGCATCTGGGCCTGGGTTTGCTCTTCCATGGCCTTGTCGTCGTTTCAGTGGTTCGCTATCCTTACTGCCAAAGACTCTGATTGCCACATGGTTCTGCTTACAGGGTCACGCTTCGCCTGACATTGGCCAAGCGTCGGTGAAGCTGCGCGTGCAGCGTCGTGGCTAGGTCTTGAGCCACACTTTGCTTCCAGCACTCGCATGTTTTTCAAGCCGTATGCTATTGTTGTGATCTGCATGGAAAGCCTGGCCGGATGTCCGAAACTCAGAGCAAAGCAGCATTCCACAGCAGGAAAAAATGATGCAAACATCACGCGCGAGGGCACGCAGGAGCAAAAAAAACCATGAGCCCCAAACCCCAAATGGAAGATCCTGTTTCGGACTCACTGCCGAAAGCCTTGGAGGAAAGAGTTCTCGTTGGCACAAAGCAAGCAAGCTATGGCCGGCCTGGAGAGCCACATAGCGCCATCGCATTGAGGATGCGCAGGTTGAAATCGTGAAAAGCCATTTGCTTCTAGCTATGATTGTCGATGTAAAACAGGCGTGCCTGGAAACACAAATAACAAGGACAACTCTGTGCTGTTCTTCCCGGCTAGCTATTTGTCACAATGCTGAACCACATCAGCTGCAACATCTGAACAAGAGAAGGTATGCCTCTGCAGTCGGCCATGTTGTCAACCGGCAGTCATGCCACGGTGAAATGATCGATTGCATTGACATGTTGGCCATGAGCCCATGAGCTATGCAGCGCCACGATGCACGGTATCCGAAAAAGTTCTGGCCTAAACCTAAACCGGATAAACAAACACCAACCTTCAAGCAATCTTCAACGTGAAGAAGCGCCACCCTTTTTATGTTGTCCTTGCGCCTCGGTGCTCGCACGTGCTCTAGATGTTGCGGGCCTCATTTTACAAGGTTCTTAAAAAAAAGGCCTGCCAGTTTTAAGTTTTAATTAAGAATGGCCAAGCCCGAAACCGCATGTGTCCCCCCATTACAGGAGTCTTGACTGATGCTCGTTGCAGCGAAGCCGCCGGCGGAGTCGACATCGTTGCGTTCATGCAAGACGATCACGACACAGAAGTTAAAGAAGCGCAGGAAGGGCCCTCCAGAGAAGTTGCAGGGCGACGCCTGCAGATTAACATCAGGATAAGCCATGTCAGGCAACATGGTAGCATGGACCGACAGTGAAGTGCATGCCGGCGGAAACTCATGCGAAAGACCATGAGGTCTAGGGCCTAGGGGTTGCGTGGACTGATAGCTTGCTGGCACATAGGGCTTAAGGCTTAAGGCTTAAGCATCGGCGCTCCGGTGCACGTTGGCAAGGGGAGAAAATCGTTTCTTGTCTCAGCCCTTTTGGGGAAGTGCCCTCATCGCAACTGGGGCAGCTCGGGTGGGGCACACTGGGTTTACAGAGTGTTTCCCAGGTTTTCCGAAATCCTATAACATCCAATCGGACCTTTTCAGATCTCGGCCTCAGAAGCTCAGTTCTTCTCCCTCCCAGAAGTCTTCTGGCATAGTGGTGAGCCATGCCTCAAGGTTGCTGAAAACCATTCTAAACCAACTTGACGGAGGGCGCTGGGAGCTCATGACTGTATTTCTGCAAGCTCGGCGGCTCGATGATTGAAACAATTGTGATGACATGCCATGATACATGGCACTTCCTGGGCCTCAGGCGTTGGAACGGCATTGCAGCTCCTCATCTGCCGAAAAAGCGGACGCTCAAGCCAGGTGTTCCGACGTGTGGATGAAAGGTGTCTGCCGCTTAGAAGCACGTACTCTAGGCACGACGTACAAACATAGTCTCAGGCATGCGCTCGCAGCCACCCCTGCCGGCGTTCTTCATCAGATGGCAAAAAGATCCGGAGCTCTCGGAGGACCTCCGACTTGCAACCATCTTGTAATCACTGACCAATGGTACTAGGTCTATAATAACAGTGACCGCCAGTTTCGGTAACCATGCTGACCCGGTGCATTGGGTAGAAATGGTAGAAAGTTGGGCTGACTTGGGGATAAGAGCACCTGCCTCTTGATGTGTGCGCCTTGCCTTATCGGCATCTGGCGGCTCCTGGCCGGAAGCTGTACTTTAATTGTACTTTCAGTGCGCAGCTGCGAACTGGGCTCGCATCTGGTCTGCGGCAGACACACTCTTCTTGTCCTCATCGGGCGGAGGAGGCGGCCCCATCGATCTCAGGGCCTCTTTCACCTGACAAAAGTTTGAACTACCCGGTGACCAGGGAGACCAGAGAGACGGGTGCTTTGCGCACACATCCCGACAATAACACCACAACAGCGCCAACAAACACCACCAGTTCGGCGAAGGCGCAGCGACTCTTCCTGGAGAATCCTGCAGTCTTTGTACGTGGCCTCGGTTGTCGTTTCGGCCGATAAGCCTAGTTTAGAGAGTCCCGCCTTGATCTTGAGCCCCATGCCGTTCGCACCCGGCCCTGCAGCCTGCAGACACATTGCTTGCTCGAGCCATGCTCCAGTGCTATCCCCCCTGCTTCCGTGCAGGCATATGTACTTCCCATGCCATGCCTCACTGCCCTTGGCTGGCGATGCTGTGAAGCTGTTGATCTCAAACATTGCCTCGCAGAGTGGGACGGCTGAGGCGACACTCGCATTATGTGACGCAGGTCTGCATGTGTTTTTGCGGCATTGCGCTGGTGTTCAGATTCGGACACTATATCTCACGAGTACGCACGCACGCATCGCAGACGCAGAAACACGCAGACGGACGGGACGGGACGGGACGGGACGGGACGGGACGGGACGGGACGGGACGGGACGGGACGGGACGGGACGGGACGGGACGGGACGGGACGAGACGGACAGACACAGACACAGACACAGACACAGACACAGACACAGACACAGACACAGACACAGACACAGACACAGACACAGAGAGACACAGAGAGACACAGAGAGACACAGAGACACAGAGACACAGAGACACAGAGACACAGAGACACAGAGACACAGAGACACAGACACAGAGACACAGACACACAGAGACACAGAGACACAGAGACACAGAGACACAGAGACACAGAGACACAGAGACACAGAGACACAGAGACACAGAGACACAGAGACACAGACAGAGACACAGACACAGACACACAGACACACAGACACACAGACACACAGACACACAGACACACAGACACACAGACACACAGACACACAGACACACAGACACACAGACACACACACACACACACACACACATACACACACATACACACACACACACACACACACACAACTACACAGAGACTTTTGGGCTTTGCTGGTGTGGCATGCTAGACATCGTGCAATAGTGCTCTCGTGCACTGGAAGCCTTCGTGTGCCACACACATCACACACACACACACACAGACACACTTGACAAACAAGACTGCTCACGAACTGGTGCAGTGTGCTTGCTGTTGCTGCATCTGAGACCAGGGCTGATTCGGTAAACTCGGATCTGGAAACCGCCTTCGAGTCTCGAGCGTTTGCTCATATGAAGCATCGCACTACAATGGCGGCGAAGACTTGTGTACACTCGTCGCCTGTTTTCGACGCCTTTCATCCACCGCTCGCCTAAAGTTGTTTCTGCAAGCGCGTGCTACAATGGACCGAATTAATATTACCCACGAGAGATGAGAATGCCATGCTCTACCCCTAGCACGCAGATGTCTGAAGACAAGCGGCGCCACCCTTTTCCGGTGCTGCTCGGACCAGATATGTGACTCCTGCATCTCCTTGTTGCATAGCGTGCAATAGGCGACGTTGTTCCGGACGATGGTGAACGGACGCTGGTCCGGATGGACATGCGCCAGTGGAGCCTTTGATCTTGACAGAGACTCAGAATGTCGGAAACCCTTCTGCGAGCAAACGTGCCGCAAAGGAGACGTAGGCTCCACCGTCAAAAGCTGTAAAAACAACAGTGTCGAACCGATACATGAGCATATGAAATCATTTGATGCGCGGGGCTGTAGTTAAGGAATGGTCAGAGGCTCGTCTTACATGGCAAGACACCAGATCAGTGCCTCCATGGGCAATCATATGTGCCACTAGCAGTCTGAACTGCTGCACATGCCAGGGTCAAAGAAATCACCATTGCAATAATAGCTGGTCCGCGGGGGGTGGGACAGGTAGTACACATACTTGTCAGCAATTGCTGCCAAATTGCTTCCATGGCCTGTGCATTCCGCAGTCTGCTCAGGTGAGTGAGGCTGTTGATGTGGAGTATGCACTGATCAAACGTCGGACTTTTGCCACACAGTCTGCCTTGGTTCAAAATGTGCAGTCGGTTCTTTCCACTAAATATAGCTGGTCTGAATCCAGTTCTTGGATGCTCTTGGGCATCATCATGTCTGAGTGTCTAAGTGCAATCTCTCTGGCTTGTCTCTTCTTTGGAAGGCTTCGACAGCAAGAGGCCGCGCATAAACATCTTCTAATACACAAAATTCAGCAGGCTCTGGAATCATGAAACATACAGAAAACCTGCGCAATGAATCGCCACACAGGGTGCAGTAGTAGCCAGCTTCTCTCCTCACCTCAGTTGACTAATTGAGAGTTTGCCGGGTGCTGAACTCAGTTCCTCCAGTCGACAATGTTCTGGCAAGCGAATCGTATCAACCTGAAACCAGGATGTCAAGGCTCAATGTAGTTCAGCTCGAGCTCGGCTTCTGAAAGACGATGGCCATAGCCGGATTCAACCAGAGCACCTCCATATCCCACCTGACACAGGCTACTCGCAGGCTCCTAACCAAGAAGCATGCGGTGTGCAGTGCAGGGAGTGCATGCAGGAAGTTTAGCACCCCAGCCTGCCCTGGACCGTAAACTCCAAGCATCTGGCCACTATCTAAACGCCATGTATCTTGTTTGTGGGTTTGGGTTTCACGACTTATGTGAAGCGTGTTGGTTGCCTACTTGCCGCCGGAGTGTAGTGTTGTAACAGCCATTAGCAGGCTGCACGCGAGCAGTTCTGGATTGTCTCAAGAGTTCTATATGGTCAGCTCTCTAAAATATGGTCCTTTTTTGGGTACCCTAAATAAGCGGGGCCGCCTTATCATAAGGACCCCCCAAAGGAGAAATCACCATATCTAGCAAGATTTGCCATGCAGCCATGCCCCGTGTCAGCTTTCGTCATGGCCTATTTGGCCCATTTTGGGGTTGTATCGCTCTTGCTGCTGTGATGAGCAAGTCTGCTGGCAGCGCAGGATCGTGAATTTTGAGGTGGTGCCTGCAAGATCCTGAAAGACGAAGAGGACAGAAACTTACTGGAAACCTGGATGGGGTGGCTCTTGCAACTTGCAACAGAACCATGTTGAAACAGCACTTCATGGCGGTTGTCATTGCTGCTATGCTCGTCCGATTTTCTCCAGAGTTCTTTTGTTTTTTCTTCAGTGGCCGAGTACCGAGCACCGGCAGCCATCAACTTTGGACGCAGCAGCTCTCGGCACATTGCTCACCAAATCGATAACCATGGAGACGGTCAGCTGGGTAGAATGCACAGCCTGCTGTGCGACGCAGCACACTCCAGAACATGAGAAGCATGGAAAACGCACAGCCTGCATTCATATGCCAGGAGCTTAAGGCTCCGACAGTGAGGCCTGCACAAGCGGAATGGCCTCAACTCTGCAACAAGTTTACCAAAAAAAATCAAAGGGAATGACGAAGCGTTTGCCACAGCTTCAGACAGCTTGAGACCCTAGCTGCCAGAGCTGCCGCAAAGCCACTGGAGAGGACGAAGCAAAGCGCACCTCCGTTGTCATGCTGATTGGTGTTGTATCGCGGGTGATTCATGCTGCGCATCACGCTGCAGATTTACGCAGCCAGGTGGCAGTAGGGCACTGCTGCTTCATCCCAAGAAGCCAAAGTCACCGTACCGAGTACGTGTGACCTTGCAGCAAGCAGCTGAAGTAGGTGGCACGTCCGGCAGAAAGTGACACTTCGACAACCAAGCCACACTGCTCCGATTGCCAGACCGCGCTCTCGTGAGCCATCCACCTCCAACCAGCCTGAATGAGACAATCGATTCTCGTCGATTCTCGTATGCCAGTATGTGCTTTGCATGACGCGCTGGCATTCCTTTCAGCAACTCTTTGCGGCCATGCTGCGCAGCAAGGGCCTTGCCACGAAAATGCCGAGGAAGCCAGATGCTACAACCTGTCACAACACGTGCAAATTCAAACTGCCAATCAGGGCTGGAAGAGCTGGAGCGGCAAGCACTCATTGGCCGCCAGGACACCACAGCCACGGTAAGTGGGGCAGAAGAGTGTAGCGAGGAAGACACCTGGGGAAGCGGAGGCGTATCATGGCATCCACGGCTCTAAGAAAGCCAAGCCAATTCTGGGCACTGCGGCTGCCAAAGCCAAGGGTGCTGTGCAGTACCGTGATACAGTCCTCAGCTGTAGGCCCGAAAATGAGAACTATGTGTGTGACACCGCGGAGAAGCAGGAGGGTGCTGGAAGCACGCAGTCTGCCGAATTTCATTCGCAACATCACTGGGTGTACGGCGATGCAGCCAAAGCCTCTCACATGTGACCACATCAAAGGCGCCCTTTGCGCAGGTCAACTTCCAGGCATCAGCACCTTCGGCAGCTGCAGAATCCGCGCGATCACGGCTGTGCCAAACAGGCCGAATACCTCGGTCATACAGATTGGAGAAACGGCATGGCGACGAGGATCTTCCTTGTCAATGCTGTTGGCAGACGTGATAGCTATGGCAGCTATGACGTGTTGACAATAAGTAGCCCAACAGCTGTGGCACAGACTGCTGCCAGCATGGACGTTGCAATGATGAGCCTGAGTACCAACGATACGATGCATACCGCAGAAACCGAGGGCGAATGCTACAACCAGCTCGTCTGCACGTGTCCGCACAAGCCGCAGGCGCGAAGTCGCGTTGCAAGAGCCGCCTGCGTTCAAACCTGACCATGCAGCATCGTCTCGCATGGGTCGGTGTTCGCACGGTTTCAAGTTTCAAGCAGAGGCTAGCATGATTTTGCCTGAGCTCCAGGCAGCAGCAATGCCAAAGCAATGACAAGTGGGCTTAACAGCCGTGACCTTGAGCATTTCACGACAAGCCCCCCCTTGCTGGCAACTTCTACTTTACCGTTGATGACACAGAACTGAACACACGCAAGTCGAACTGCGTTGTGCTTTCGGTACGATGCTCCCCGACGACACCGCTCGACAAAGCTGCTGACGCTGCTGCTCGTCTGGGTGTCAAGCATCAGTGGGCCAGCTCCGGTGGGAGAGGCGTAGGTCACCAAGACCTGAGAGCAACAGCATCGGAGTCTGCTAGAGCCTCCAGGAAATCACCGAACATGCAAAAGGCAGGACCTCAAAGTAGGGGCAACACATCATGGAAGGAGCGCGTTTCGTCCTGACAAAGAATCGCATCGGGAGCCTCTAGATGCTAAAGAGACATCCGCAGGACGTTTTTGGGGGCCCTCGCATGATTTGAGAGACTCAGTGCTGACGGGTCATCCCAGCTTGTTGGGGCTGGCAAATGAACACTTCGAACCTGTATACGCTGAAACGGACATTCAACCCTCAAGCCTCAACCCTGACCCACAAACCGAAGCTGCCAAGGCGAAGAATACCCTTAAACCAAAAAACAGTTGCGCTGTTACGCGCTGCCTGCTGGGCTGAGGTCCAATGTGTGGAATGTTGGCGATACTATCAACGTGCAAGCGGCCTACTCTCGACACTGCATTAAGCTTACGTAGATGTCGGTAGTGTTAAACCTCTGGAGCTGACATGTCCAGACAAAGAATCGGCGTCTCAGAAGACCCCGGCTTGGCAGACAAAGAACTTAATGAGTAAATCGCATGGGAGCTTCTGCAGTGCCATGTCACGTTGGCCTGCGACGCCCATAGCGCGATGGCCAGCCATGAGCCCAAGACGCCTCGCAATTGCATTGCATCAGTCTTTGCAGCCTACCCATTTCGAATTGGCGGCTATTGTGGCTTCACTACTACAGACTCTGTTTCTTCTACCAGCTCCTAGCAGGCTCGGATAATGGTGTCTCCAGACCTCAACCTTAAGCCCCTACACCGGGCACCGGGCCCGAAACCATCCCTAAACCCCTACAGCCCTATACATGCCCTATGACCTATAAACCCCAAACCTCAGCACCAACAAGGAGGCCCGCGCAGAATAGATGTCAATAGACGTCAAGTGTCGAAGGCACAGGGTAGACCCCCCTTATGCCCCCCTCCCTCATGCGCTTCTATTTATGGGTTTGGTTCGGCCTGCCCGGCCTCTCCCTGAAGAGATTTTGGAAGGCTCCAATACATGAGAATTCAGCAATCAACTCGAATCGGATTTCAGGAGCGCCTGCGAAGATGGGGTGGAGAGCGGTCTTCAAGGCTGGTGGCGCGGAGTTGCCTTCCGTAGCCCGATACATCGATCTGATTCGTCGAACAGCCAGGGGGGGTGTCGCTTTCCACCCCCTGCTGCCGATGCCTAAGACGAAGGACAGCAAGGACGCGCACAGCATGAAGCAAACCTCCATCGTCTGAGACCTTGAAGCACAAGTTGGTCGTTTGCTTGCACGAACCGATCCGATCACTGCGCGCGCGCACGCATCAAAACATGTTGATCAGGTCCACAAACCTTGAATGTCTCTGAGCTCATGGCGCACGACCGAACTTGAGACAAAGCAAAGCCTCATGAGGCAGAGCTGCCGTACTGTGCGCGTCAAGCTGGTGACAGAAAGCAATTTGGACAAAGCCCCCGGCCGCCAGCATGATGATTGCATAAACCGGCAGCCATCGTCGCTTGAAGGGCCTGCGACCAAGACTGATGCAGTCCGCAGAGCCAAAACTGCATACAATGCTCACAGATTCACACTTGACGAGCACAACCGCGTAGTTTCACGTGGTTTCACGACAAGTCCCGATCTCAACAAAATTACACTTTTACTACACCTTTGGGAACAAATTCGTCTGCACAGCAACCCGAAGTACCAATTATCTTGCTCCCCCTGGACGTTTATCCTCTGCCTGCCAGGTCTTGGGTAGGCCTCCTCAGTAGAAAAAAACATCCAGAATAATCAGGGCGGCAGAGTGTTCCGCAGGCTCCCTCGTGAGGCTCAGGGTGGCGGACCCTTCCATTGGTTGGGGTCATCCCTGGCAGGGCCTTGGCTGGAACAACTCACTAGCAAGGCCACCGAAAGGAACTCAGCCGACAGTAGCGCGCTCTGGGCAGCTAGCGTTCACCACTTCATCCTTGCTTCGTGACAGTCGGACAGGCCGGCCCGCGTGACATGAACACATCTAGCACGTGTACTATTGTCAGCGGCAATCAGACTGCATGGCAATACCGCGCAACTATTTCCATGGGGACCCCTTAACAGAAGCACAAAAATCTTAAAGCCAGTGAACCCCGTTGAAATGCGCACCGCCATGTGGCCCCTTAATGCCCCTTACAAATCTCGGGGGGAATGGACATGATCGCAACCATTTTACAGGAAGTAGTGGTGCTCGGATAGCTGCAGTATGGCGCCAATTGAAATCAGCCGTGACATGCCGCGCATGGCCCGGCCTTCAGCTTCTCGTTGGGCTGTTGAGACGCAATCGCTTTGGCAACCACGCCTACCTGAGCAACTGTAGCACCAAGCTGCTGTTGTTTCGGATTCCATTCTCTTTTTGAAGACGTATACCACATCAAGCCTGCCCAAGGCTACACCCACACACCTGCCCTATGACGACACCAGGTATGAGCTCGACGGGAAATTCCTGTCTACATTGCGTCGACATTTTTGAGTCAACATTTTTTGCCAGGGAGCGAAGCCCATCTGCAGCACACCGCCGCAAGCGATGAGGACCGACAAACCTCGGAACTTCCGCTGCGTGGCACCCCTGACATAAAGCGCATGCATCTTCCTGAGTCGTGGCTTAAGGTTTCAGCACCAGACGGAAAAGCTCACCAGCTGAAATTGGCTCCTGTGCACGTTGCGGCGTTGATGAAATGACATGTCCGCGCATAGGAGTCAAGCACACAGACGGATACATGTGGCAGCCTCAACCAGCGGCAGTTTGACCTCAGCATGTGAAGCATGCCTGTGATGTGCAGCAACGGCGTGCAAGTAGCGGGGTGGGCGGACAGGTGACCTGCCCACGATGTTGACTTTATTGGGGCACTGCAAGTATGGTGCCGACAGTGCCCATGTGAAAGCTGCCCTCATGCTGCTAGCAGCTTAATCTTGGAAGCTTAGGCTTCTACCAGCGCGGGGGTGAAAAACACTGGAGCCTCAACTCGGTGGCACGAAAGCAGCAGACTGCAACTGCAATCGTCGTGCCATCACGAGAACGCGGAAGGAGCTACAGCCAAGAGCACGGCCCATTTCAACAGGAACCTATATCCTGGTGCCAAGAACCTCGGCTCAATGGTTGTGAAGCCGGCAGGCTCTGCTACCGACTTGAGTGTCGCGCTGAAAGAGAAGCTCTGCCGCAGAGCCTGGAGAAAAGCCAATGGCCATGCAAGTCACAGTGCAGTAAGAATGACTCCTAATTCGCACCCATGCTACCACAGCCAAGTCAACAGTGAATCATCTTCGGGCTATGGCAGCATGACTTTCGGATGCGGTGCACCAACGAACACCGCAAAACGGTGGTGTGCACCGTGCAACACTTTTGCATTCCAAGGTAGAGGCCACAACCAAGACTGTCAAGGCAAAGCAGGACTGCAAATAGACCAAACATTCCTGAACGATGCAGTGAGAAATGCTGGCAGAACCGGGAACGAGAAATGTGAGCTATTGTGACCTCCAACAGACAAGCAGCCAAGTGTGATGTGTACAGCTGTATCAGGACGGCTGCTGAAAGGCAGTCAGTCGCATGCTTCCTGGTGTCCGGAGCGCAAAGCAAGCCCTGCCTAGCAGCATCGGTGGTAGCACAACTCCAGCTCCTGCACTCAAACAATCGACCCAAGAATAGTGGGTTGCAGAAACGAAATAGAGAGGATCTCCAAACAGACTACTGTATTCTGAAAGCGGCGGTGCAACCGCAATCTGTGTTCCTGCCGAAATCCATCTGATGTTTCAATCTGCAGCCGCGAGCCAATCAGTCATCCGCTGCAGTCCGCAATCGGATATCAAGCTAGAAAGTCATGGGCGGACGCAGGCCTCTGGACTTCATCCGGTCCTTATCACGAACCTGTCCAGTCCGTATTTCTAGTCCATGAACGACCCAGGGTAACTTTGGAACGCCCCAACTCATCAATTAATTCGCCGCCTCCTTGCGTGGACTTTCGGGCGCCAGCGCACCATCAAAGTAAAGAATCAACTCAAAAGAAGTTCGTGACATTTAGGGTTCTTGAAAAAAACAGTTAGATTTTAACGTTAAAAACCCTCAAGGCTTGGGTGGAGCATGGTGGAGTCCAAATCTCCTGACTGCCAAGGTTTTCGCTGTCGGAACTCTGATGGTACCGGCGCGGTTGCACGCCAAAGCCCAAGAATCAACTTGTCTGCTTTGACTTTGGGATCGGGGAAACATGAAAGCTTGGAAAATACTCGGAGTGCAGTAGATGTGTAGGGCTTCGTCGCTCTTGCGAGCAGCGCAGTCAGATCCCAAAATAAGCTTGCACCTAAAGCAGTCATCCGGGGACTACCAATCAGCACCGGCCAAGACGTGGATCATTCGTCCTGCCTTTGATGCTTTACAGTCATCCTTGTCACGTTCTGTGCCTGCTTTTCGCTGAACCTTTTTCTAAACGTAATTGCGTTTGCTGTCTGCCATCACAGCAAACATGCTCGAGTTTTTTGCTTGGCCGGTGCCTTGCTTCGCTATCAGACAAAAAACATCTTGGCAGACGGCGATGACTCCAAAGATATTCGAGAGACACTCGCATTGGCGTGAGCTGGCATGCTCGTGCAGTCTCATGGCTGCGAATGGCGATGCGGCATGGTGTTCGACAATCACCCGATGGAGTCGGTCCTGTGGCTGCGATGGCTTCCTCAACAAAGACCTCGGGAAAAACGCTGGGTAAGAACAGTACCATCCCACTTCTTCGAGAATGGGCTATCAAGGGAAGACGTCTGAACATGAATGTGAATTATGGCGCCGGGGTAGCTTGGGCCCTTGCGAAGCAAGCAACTGCAAAGATCCTCCGCCCCTTCTCGGCCCTCAGTCAATGCAAAGATAAAGCTGCTACAGCTGATGGCTCGTTTGGTTCGAAAGCATATGTGGCAGGAGCCGTGGCAGGAGCCACTGCCCAACAGCAACAAGTTGAGGCTGACGACTTCTGCCATGATCGCACTTTTCTGTGGCGCACTTGCGTTACCATCAGTCTTGAGTGAATGAGGCCCCGTTGGACACGCTTCCTCCATCTCGCGGAGGAAGTACCTGGGGTCATTCGTATGCTATGAGTCTCTTTCCATTGCGCAGGGTGGCCGCCGCCTGCCGTGCGGCGCCAACTTGAGAATGTTGGAGCCATTTGCGTGATCGAAACCATCCAGGAAAGCAACCTCAAGAACTTTGGGCAGCCGTATAGCACTTGCAGAATCATCTAGCATCATCTACCTCGGACGTCTGGACACCCCGGCCTCCTTTGGAGTGTACCGTGCAGCAACGAGATCCCAAAACCTAGCTCGCTAGTGCCATGCGTTGCCGTCTGAACGTCAAGCCGAGGCTTCTTACAATTGTAGCCTGTCGCATATCTTAGCATCCAAGAGGCGGCAGGGGGGCACGGGCGTTGCTGTAGATGACAGCACCAAACCTGCGGGATCGGTCTCTCCCAGCCCTGCAACGCATTGTTTCCGGTTGTTGCCACTTTGGTTGGAGCCTAAGAGGGTCCTGTAAGGCTCGGGCTCATGGGCTCTGAGTCGATGTTCCCTGTCCGTGCAACAGGTGTCCAACATTGCCAAATGCGCATTTGACCGGCTTTAAAGTGACAGCCGGGTTGCACATGGGTATGGTTGAGTCGCAAGGCTGGAGCGCCAAGCAGTCCGGTAGTCGACATGTCCGTCCTGTGGCTGAAGTGTGCCGTTTTCCGTTTTGAAAAGCAGTGCCCAGCTCCCTGCCTCCCATGTGCCGCGTACATCTCGGAGAAAAACGGATAATCAACAACCTCAGCCCATCATCCCCATCTCCTTTCGTAGGTCGCAGTTTCGATCTCTTGGCTACATCAAGACATGTCCTTGGAAGCCGGCACTTGCAGATCCAAGAACCTTCTGCAAGCCATAGAAGATGTTGCGCGAAAGATAGCCTTCAACTGCGTGCAACTTGCCATGGACAAAAGGTGGATGAACATGCTGCATGACACCATTGTCGTTCCCGCATCCAGTGGTACTCCTTGTCAGTGTGATGCCTTGTGGCCACAAACTGTCCCTGTGCATTTTGCTCTTGGCCTCCCGAATGGTAGCCGTCTGGCGGTAAGAGGAAGAGGATGGTGCGGCGGTGCATCTGCAGATGGCTCAGCAGATACTCTGCCTGCGCATGAGACCCTCCCCAACTTGGAGGAGGTTAGTCGCAGGCCATCACTAGGTGAGTAGGATATGTTGGGCCATTCTTCCGTCTACACTGCTATACCATACCCTGCTACATCATGACCAACCCTGAACCAAGTTCTGCAATTTGCTTCGCCCGGCATTTTCGGCAACTTGCAAACTGAGGTTTTTTTAAAAAATGTCCACCCTGCACCAGCGTGTTCTCAATGCATCTCAAGATTTTGCATCCCAGCCCCGACGATTTCGGATTTTGCCAGGTGCGAGGTCAGCATGTGACACTTGCCATTCTGTGTGCAAAGGTCACTGCGCATCGAGCTAGGTGACGTACACAGCCGTCTGGTATTCGCTCTGGTGGGAGTTGGACGGGGCTTTTTTGGGATTGAAACCGGAACCCTGGACGCTGAACCAGACATTCGAAACATCAAGACCCTCGAACCCTAAGCCCTTTTCCAGGGGAGTGAGAGACTAAGCGAAGAAGAACAAGAAGAAGGAGAAGCCTGAACCCCTGACCTCCATATGCTTTGAAGCAAGTTGTTTTGAATCTTTCCTTATTTCTGTCTTTCCTTATTTGTTCCTTTCTTTACTTCTTTCTTCTGCTCCTAGCCAAAAACCTACGGAAAGGAACGATTTCCTAGCTGGCTGCTGAACGGGCTGTTGAGCTGAGCTGCTGGTCATTGTTGGGGGCACACATGTCGCATGATGTGAAATCACTCCAGATTGCACTGCTAAGCTCTTGAGAATCCTGCGACGCGAAGCACTAAGTAAGGGCTGCACAAGCTTGGAAGCTGCCAAACGGTGCTTCGTGTATCGTAGAAGAGGCGCTGCTGTCTCGACATAGTCGCCTTTATCTCAGTGGCAAGCCACTCATGATCACACTGCTATGCTCTGATTCTGCTCTTGGTTGTGCTCAGGTGCGCATCTGGAAGGCCGTTGGATCCAATCGTCCTTCGTAAACCCCCGGCAATTTTTTTGCCATTCCTGAGTGCTTGCAACATGCGTTGCCGCAAGGGTTCCCATGTCAAGATGCGGACGAGCAGCCAAGTAAGTGAGCGGGCAGGAACGGAATCTTGCGCGAGGGCGCCCTGTCAGGGACTTCTTCCGGATCGTTAACTACGCCTCTGCTTCTTGAGGGAGTTGTGGCCTAGCCGTCGCACTGCGGGGCCTACTGTAGGAGCAAACATGCACTCAAGAGCCTACTAAATTGAGGAGAAAAGCAGGGCATGCACAACACCCCACGATCCTGCAATTGCATAACGCACCCATCAGGAAACCTCGATCTAGTTGTTTTTTGTTTGGAAGTGGTGGCTTCTGATAGTCAGCCACGCCCAGGTGCTGACAGACTAATCTTTAAAATTTGTGCAACTGTTTGTATTGTGGATCCCTCTGCTACACTTGCCTGGTCAAGTCTACGAAGTAGGGCACTGTCCCAGCTGCCAGGATCTCATAATGTCGGAGGCAATCCCAGCCGCCCTTCGGCCGAGTGACGGCGAACCAAGCCTGGACACTGCAGGCCCATAAACTGATGAAGCTAGAAGACGAGAGGGAGCCTCGGCCGATGTAGCGAATGCTTGAGGTGACCCTACTTTCGGGCGTGCCTGCCGATTCTGGGCCTGCTTTTGCTTTCTGCGCCGGCTGAAATTTGTGGTGTTCTTTTGCTGGTGGGGGACTGTTCTGGGATGGCTGCTCGCCTCAGGGTTGATGCTTTCCTGGTTTTGTCGCGACTATTTTCTGGCTAGGGGGGCTGAAGTGTGGCAACGCAAGTATTCGGTTTCCCGCCTCGCGAGATTATCCAGCAGCAACAACAACAAGAATCGAAGAATAACGACAAGAACACCAAGAACAACAAGCACAAGAACAAGAGCAACAATTACAAGAAGAACAAGGACAAGGACAAGGACAAGGACAAGGACAAGGACAACGACAAAGGACAAGTCCTACAGTACTGAGACATCAAACACACTCCATCGTGGGAAACTTCACTTCTGGCACCCGTTGCAATGCTCGAAATTCCACACGGGAATGCTTGTTAGAGGCCTTGGCATGTCATGACATCCCCGGTAAAACGTAGTCTAAAGTGGGCGCACGAACAATGTTCACGCTGCATGGGCCAGGTGGGCTTTGCACGAAAATGCACAACGAAAACACATGTTTCGGGACTGCTGGAATGCTGAGCACATGAAAAACGAGCTGTCGCCCCAATGTACTGGGCGCCCATTCCAAAACTTCGTTTAAGCATTCCGAGCCCGTAGCAAGTGCCTACGAGTGTCAGGGCATGTCAGGGCTGTCAATCAATGGCTTTCTCGGCTTCTAGATGCTTAGTCTTACTTCCCAACATATTCTTACCCTCACTCTGACGTCAGCCTGCCGAAGATGCGCATGGTATGCAGCGGTGTCTTCACGGCTTCGTGAGTTGAAGCTGTAGGTGCTTCGATCACCGGGCCACACCAGCGCATAGTCAAACTTCTTGAATGGGATACATGGCCTTGGTCGTCGGTCGAAATCTCGTACGCCTATGTAGGCTGAGAGCCGCTGAGAGGCACGATTAGCTCGTCGGGAATGCCAATGGCCTCGGTACGTGCCTAATGTGCCTACCTATCCCGCCCTCATGTCGGTATCGCGCAGATTGCCAGCAGTTTCCAAGCTGTCCACAAGGAAGGGCATCTAAGAGTTGTAGGAGTGCCAACTGAGCGCCAAGGAGCAATGGGGAAGATGTCGACTCCTCCGGGACATCGCTGCGGCGTGGGCCATGAGGGCAGATGCGGCTTCTCGTCGAAGAAGTCTGGTGTCAAACCGAAGCATTGGAAGGAACCTGCAGTCAGATTGTCCGACGAATCTTCATCGACTGTCCCATTCGACGTGAAACAATGCAAACCACAAGTCCGTATCAGGGCGCTAACTCTGTCCTTGCCTGTAGGCACATGAACCGCTTGATGTGCGGAAATGGATGCGGGGTGCAGACCTGGCCTGGCCGCTCTGTGGATTCTGTGGACTCTGGCAGGAATTGGCAGGATGTCTGCTGGGAGTTTGGAAGGGCCTCAGCCGTGCCTGTGCCACCAAGGCTGCTCTTGGAGCCTTCAGGGTGAGGAGAAGCAAGAGTCTGATCAGTGAGATGTCAAGTATCAGCATCCACCATTCGATTCCGAGAGGCCTGAAGCTCGAAAGTGCGGCGGCAGCAAGCCTCGAATGACTCCTCAGCGCTGCCTCCACTGTCCCACACATCGTCCCGCAACATTTCTCAGGTGATATGAACTCTCGCTCGGCCCGGCTATGCCCTGTTCGCTCCACATTCCACAGCATTGCACGATTCGGTTCTACAGCGCAGGAGTACGTTCTTGAGCAGCCGCGGGCCATGCGACATGTTTACGTGGTTTCACTAGTCCCCATCTGAACTTGAAGGACTCATTTCAGGCATCGACTTCGTGTTGTCTGGCTGAGTTCGTCCTCCCTTCACCATCACGGGTTTCCAGAACCGAAGCCGTCGCTTGGCGTCACGCTTCACCATGAATCATGCAAAAGTCGGTTTCAGGCAATGTCAGTGTAGGGGCTTCAGAATGATGAAGTATTAGCATGTTCCAGGATGGGCTATTAGGCCTTATAACCCCCATAACCAGCCTTATCAACACCCTTTTTTAAGGGTTATAAGGTCTACTAGCCCATCCTGGTTTTTTGTGAGTCGGTGACGTGTTCAGTTTTATCCGCCCTTGGTACATCGCACGCTTGCCCGCTTAGCCTGCTCAGCAAACGCTTATCATCACTGAGAAAGGCAAATGGGCTGCCACCAAGTCGAGCGCCAGTAAGTGTCGAATCCGTTTCGCAGCCAAAAGATGCCCAACAGCCTGTTTGAAAGCAGCCTGCAGCCGCTGAGCAGCAGCGATGCCAGCTCCGGTCACGAACCCAACCTGAGCGAAGGCTTCCTAAGATGTTGCCAAGGCTTTGGGAACCCCTGAATATACAGGTAGGCGCCCGGCATGATGGGTTTCCGGGGCTTGACATCTGTATCAACATCAGCTTCTCGGGCCTGGCGCAGCGCCCCAGTCCGAGGCTCAAAGTGATGACTCCTTAGCTGGGGCTGTGGTTCACGATGGTTTACTGACTCGGGTGGCAGCGGGAGGTATCGTGCACCACTGCATGCGGAAAACGTCGCTACGAGCACAGACATGGGAAAAACAAGGTTGCAGTTCTCATGCAGATGCGCGGCTTATCGCGGCTTTTTAGCGCGGTTTAGCTCTGTACTTTCTTTGTTTTTGGTTGTCACATCCGGCATCCACGTAAAGGAAAATCACAAAGGAAAACCTTTCATAGGTCCTCGATATTTCACTCGGAAATGTTCTCCATTTCTCCTGAACCTTTGTAGGAAACATCTGTATGTCTTCTTCTCTCTGCTCTAATACCTTTCATCAGAACACCTCCACGTCCTCAGGTCCTCGATGCTTTGATGGAAATCCTCCACTGCTTCTTTGCCAATTCATTGGCGACCTCTGTAACCCTTCACGTTCTGTGCTTCTGTCTGCTTCTCCTCCTGTACGTGTTGTGCTTTGTCTTTTCTAGGAATGTCTATCTATGGTGTGGATATGCGTGGATGAGGCAAGCTTCCACGGCTTGAAAGAGCAAGCTCCCACATCGGCAAGCAGCATGGCAGGGATGATCGAAGCAAATAACTGCTTTTGGCTTGTCATCGACAAGGGACCCAGACCCAGGGACCCAGGGACCCAGGGACCCAGGAGACCAAACGGCCAGCGCACCCCGCAGAGAATCTTGAAGAGATTCCTGCGAGTATCCCTGGAGTGCATGCCTACCCCCACAAAATCCCGCCGAGAATGGGGTGGGCTGACTCACATCTAACAACCCAAGCTGAGGGTGGAAAAAGAAGTACCTCAAAAACGCAGCAGCATTCGGTTTCAATTCTAATCTGGAGGGAATCATGACCTTCACTTCCCATTGGACTCAATTGACTCGTCCAAACCGAAGCCGGCAAGGCTTCAAGAAGCGAACTCTTTCTTCGTCTTCGGCGCGTGACAGGATCATCACAACAAGGTGCCGGCAAGTCGCTGGCCGATACGACTGCCTTCGCAGACCATTCTGAATTCTGACCATTTTCGAGCCGGGGCTGTAATCACCCTCATGTGCCTACGAGAGCCTCCACGCCATTGTCGAAGGCGCCTCTTTGCTTCCGCCATGCCCTGACCACTGTAGTGGCGCGCTGGTGAGGGCTGATAGAGCACTGAAAAGTGGAGCACTGACATGCAATGGCGCCACCAGTTGGTTCATCAAGGTGCTCGCCTGTCGACGTTGTATCGCTGAGGCAATCGGTGCCCGTTGAGGGAACACCTCGTTGGTGCTACGAGTGCTGGTGGCGTACTTCAAGGTGGCACCAATGCAGCAAAGCATGCCTTTGGTTGTTGAAACGATTCCGACTGTCCAGTGCAACCCCGCGGCCCATCATTCTTTGTCAAGGGTAGGCCAGGTATCGAAACTTTCACAAAGTGAAGTCCATTGGGGACCAGGATGGACCAGGCCTCGGGAACGGGCGCTCATTCACCATGCAGCTCACCACAGTGCTGCGATCCGACCTGTAACAAGTATCCTCGAAGGGCTTAGCAGCAAGTGACAACAAGGGAGATCAAGGAATCCACAAACTTCAACAGAGGCGTGTTGTTAAAGGTGGCTGTGGCTCAGGTCCATTTGTCAATACTCGTGTTCCTGCACAGGTGTGGCGCTCCATTGGGTCAAAAAAAACACTCCCACCCTCACTCTTATAGGCTCAATTTGGCAGGCCCCTCTTCAGGTAGAGTGAGTGGGATGTGCCAGCACAGGGAAGGGACTACACTTCTGGAATCAGATGCGCAGCTTACTAGGGGAAGGATGCGGGGCGGGCAACCCCACCCCCCCTTTGCAAACAGAATCATCCGAGTCCGACGATGCGAGGGTGCACATCTGCTTTTCCATGTCGGGTTTAAGGTTGCAGCGCCACGCATTTATTTGCAAACAGGTACGTGCAGCGCTAAAAGGGGGCGACCCGAATTCAAAAAAAATGCCAAAAGATTTCACAGTCACCAACATAATCATCCCTGCATGTAACAAGAACCTGGAACACTGGCGTTGGAGTGCGGAGGGGGGGGGGGGCAGCCTTTGCAAATCTGAGGATGAGGGGGTCAACAACTTGTTGGATTTCGGATTTGTTCGCACCTTGTGCAAAATTGGCCTAGCCGCGTGAAGCTTGAAGGTTGCGGCCCACCCGAGTGAACCAGGCATGTCCAGCGACACTTGAGACAAGCAACAGCATAGGATGCACACTTTGGCAAAGCACCAGGCCACGCCCCGACGGCACGGTGTGCTCTGACGCGTATGGGGGCGGGCCTCCGAACACTCGCAGCATGCAACATGCAATCCTGCTGAACGCTCTCAGATCCTCTGAGGTTGAGCATTGGATCCTTCACACGCTTGAGTCAGATCGCGAATGCCTTCTCGGTGAAGCGCACAGGCAGCCGTGGACCATGCCTCTGATGCGATCAGTCGGACAGCTACCAGGACGTCGGTTTCCAGGCTTCAGGAGGTTGAGGTTTGCCCTGCGTCGTCGTGATCCGGCTTCGAGCTTGGGATCTTGGAGCATATGAATCCTTTTTTTGTCTTGGATATTCGTGATTTGAGGATAACAGGCTCAGGGGGCCTTACATGGCGTACTGTTCTGAAAATGTGCACACTAATGCTTGGCTCTCATCACTTCGCCCACCTGGAGCAGTGCCATCCGAATGCTACTCCGCGTGAGCGATAGCGGAAGGCCTGCCAGGGCAGCGGCTGAGGACTTCAGGATGCGCTTTCCGGCTGGAAGGCGGAAGAGGGAGGTGCCTCGCCGCAATCATGCAGAATGCGTCGGCCCTGGCGATCGACCTGTGCACGTACAATGCAACCAACCCTGCACGGCATTTCTCTGCATAGAGACAGAGCATTTCGTGGCACAAGAGCCACTTACTTCTGCTGTCCTTCTGTGCAGGCAAGTCGCTTTTTGAGTGCAACGTCCACTAGCCGAAAAAAAAACCTGCCATGCACTCAACTGGATTTCGCTGCCCATGTCTTGCATGATCGGTGCGAAGCCACTGAGACTCCTTTTTTGCGCCAAAGCCCACTGCCAAATTGCTCGCCGTCTTCCCGGTCTCGTGGTTGGACTCTTGACGTTTCTTGATCGGTGGCTGGGGCGCATGGCCCTGTGGAGAACCAGGGTGGCACTGATGACCGGATCTCCTGTCGGGCATTGGCGCAATGTGTCAGTTGAACTGCCATGATATGATGCACGTCGTTTGATGGACTGTGTCAACGGTCCTGCATTTTCCGCATCTTTCTTTGCGCTTTTGCTCTCGGGGAGTTTCTCGTCTGCCTCTGGCGGAGGTGGCTCAGGAAGATCCAGCGCGGCAAGCTTCCGCTTCACGCAGCAGCCGCGGGCGACAATGGCTTCTGCTTGCCTCGGGCGGAAGCCGTGGATTCTGACTTGCTGCCGAAACCCCCGCCTGAAAAAATGATTATGACCGAACAGTCGTCCAAGCCACTCCAGCGTCGTTGTCGGGTCCTAGGTGGCGAGCAGGTGAGCAGTGTGACCCAGGTGAGACAGCATTTTCCCTTGTTTCACAACAGTCTTGAATCAGAAGCTTAGGGCTGGGCTGCAAGGTCAATGAGTGCTATGGCCTGCATCCATCTCTGCCAGCTTTTAAAAAAGCAGAACCGATCAACATGTTACCTGCTATTCTGCAAAGATGGCTCTGGCACTTGCATGCATTAAGGCCTCGCCCAGTGTCAGCCCGAAATGGTCGACCAACAGCTTTGGTTTCATCCGCCGACTTCCAAGATTCTCAATGCTTATTTTTGCCATCTCGAACTCTTGGATCAAGATCTTGACACCCTCGGCCGCGCGGACAGAAGTAGACCCACTTCCAGCGGAGGCCATGATATCAGTATCTGCATGACCAAACCCAAACTGAACTGCTGCCTAAGCTCTGCGGCACTTCGATAGCCTCGTAACCCTCTCCAGAGCAGCTTTGCCACATCTCGGTCCTTCGCTAGCAAACCTATGGCTTTTGAAGCAGCAGATCGGATGACTGAACCCTAAACCCTAAACCCTAAACCCTAAACCCTTGATTCATCGGATCCTTGCAGCCCAGTGGCTGGTGGAGGATCTTCGGAATATGCCAGTGTGTATCTGTCATCCGGGCTAACGATCGGAGGAACACCTTTCAAATGAGTTACGATCTTTGGCTTTTCTGGAATCCCACCATTCTCCTGCGGACAACAAAGCAAAAAATAAGATCTGCAGAAACATGGAAGCTATCAACTCAGTACATTGTCCTGCTCATCGGACTCCGAGCAAGAATCGGAATTCATCTCCTGCGCGATGGCTTCACCATTCACTTGACGGGGTACCTCGCCAACATGTCGTGATCCCATAGCAGTCGGTGTGTTCCATGAGCTACAGGTGTCACTTGTCCGCTGCCTCCAGCTTGACTTGCGGCTTTTTCACACCATAGTGGGATTCCTGCTGCGAGGGCAACTCCTCCACCACCTGGCTGCGCGAACTCGGCCGGTAGAGTGTAGTGTAGAAACCACGACTCAAGATGCCACACAGTAGCTTGCGAGGTCTGGACTGCAAGAGGCTATCCGAAATGTGGCACAGCATGCTGATGCCTCATCCTCGTCCCAGTCTGGTGTGGCCGCAGTCACCTCTTCCACATGGCCACTTGACCAGTACTGAAATTGACCGAACCATAGCCAGTGTGCTGAGAACAACATCGAACCGATCGACATCGCATTGCATCGCGGTATGCGAAGCATTGTGAAGCTACACCCAAACCCAGCCGTCACATGCACAGCAAGCCCCCAGCCATCCAAATGCCATACCCAGGGCAGCCACACAAGGGCTACACAGGGCACAGGCTTGCAGCCACAGGGTGCAAGCCAGCCACAAAGTTTTCAATGGCCCTTGAAAAGCCTGTTGCTGGAGTGTATTTGTTGAAGAGTGTGTTAAAGCGGCTTTACCTTGCAAGCGCGCATGCATATGCTGTCTGTGATTGCTGGCTGTGTGGCTGGGGTGGGGAGGGCTGTGCTGATGTGGGTTTGTGGGCTGTGGGGCTGGTTGTGGTTGTGATGGGTGGGTGGGGGTGTGGCGGCGGTGCTATATCGCCTGTTTCTATCGGAAACAACCACGTATCAATCGATCCAAGGTACTACGACCATGCTGTCGACTCACCCTTAGAAAGCCCCTACCGAATCAAATCGCCTTCATCATGGGCTTCCTTGGCTGAGCTGTTGCAGGAAACATCTTCTGGTCGCCATCTTCCTCCTCTTCGTCGTCCTTCAAAAGATTGCCCGGCACAACTAGCGCAAGGGTCCAAAATGGCTACTTGGCCTCGGATTCGGAATGCTCTGCGGCCGTCTTGGCTTTGGCGCCGGGCACCTTGCCAGCTGTGGTTGGAGAGCTCTCCAGTACAACATGCGTGTGCATGCAAAAGTGCAAAAACCGTCAGCCCTTTTGAGCCTGCGCGGTGCTCTTCGCCAGAGGGGGTAAGTTGCCATCCTCCTACCAGTACACGCTTCTAGAGTCAATGCTTGCAGGGTCTTCCACGACTTGTACGCACGGCCAGAGTTCACCACCGTCGCGCTCTTGTCCTCCTCGTCTTCGTCAGACTCTTCGGCTGCTACCTTGGCTGCGGCCTGATTGTCTGAAATTTGTGGGGCAGGCTTCTGCTCAAACCAAATTCAGTGGCCTTTTTGGTCGCAGCCTTCGCAGGAACCATCTTCTTGTCGCCATCTTCCTCCTCTTCGTCGTCCTTCAAAATATTGCCCGGCACAACTAGCGCAAGGGTCGAAAATGGCTGCTTGGCCTCGGATTCGGAATCCTCTGCGGCCGTCTTGGCTTTGGCGCGGGGCACCTTGCCAGCTGTGGTTGGAGAGCTCTCCAGTACAACATGCGTGTTTTGAGCCTGTGCGGTGCTCTTCGCCAGAGGGGGTAAGTTGCCATCCTCCTGCCAGCGCGCGCTTCTAGAGTCAATGCTTGCAGGGTCTTCCACGACTTGTACGCACAGCCAGAGTTCACCACCGTCACGCTCTTGTCCTCCTCGTCTTCGTCAGACTCTTCGGCTGCTGCCTTGGCTGCGGCCTGATTGTCTGAAATTTGTGGGAAAGGCTTCTGCTCACCCACTGTGCGACAAACTGCCCTCCGCAACTAAAACCAAAGTCAGTCGCCTTTTTGGTCGCAGCCTTCGTAGGAACCATCTTCTTGTCGCCATCTTCCTCCTCTTCGTCCTCCTTCCAAAGATTGCCCGGCACAACTAGCGCAAGGGTCCAAAATGGCTACCTGGCCTCGGATTCGGAATCCTCTGCGGCCGTCTTGGCTTTGGCGCCGGGCACCTTGCCAGCTGTGGTTGGAGAGCTCTCCAGTACAACATGCGTGCGCATGCAAAAGTGCAAAAACCGTCAGCCCTTTTGAGCCTGCGCGGTGCTCTTCGCCGGAGGGGGTAAGTTGCCATCCTCCTGCCAGTGCGCGCTTCTAGAGTCAATGCTTGCAGGGTCTTCCACGACTTGTACGCACAGCCAGAGTTCACCACCGTCGCGCTCTTGTCCTCCTCGTCTTCGTCAGACTCTTCGGCTGCTGCCTTGGCTGCGGCCTGATTGTCTGAAATTTGCGGGACAGGCTTCTTCTGCTCACCCACTGTGCGACAAACTGCCCTCCGCAACTAAAACCAAAGTCAGTCGCCTTTTTGGTCGCAGCCTTCGTAGGAACCATCTTCTTGTCGCCATCTTCCTCCTCTTCGTCCTCCTTCAAAAGATTGCCCGGCACAACTAGCGCAAGGGTCCAAAATGGCTACCTGGCCTCGGATTCGGAATCCTCTGCGGCCGTCTTGGCTTTGGCGCCGGGCACCTTGCCAGCTGTGGTTGGAGAGCTCTCCAGTACAACATGCGTGCGCATGCAAAAGTGCAAAAACCGTCAGCCCTTTTGAGCCTGCGCGGTGCTCTTCGCCAGAGGGGGTAAGTTGCCATCCTCCTGCCAGTACACGCTTCTAGAGTCAATGCTTGCAGGGTCTTCCACGACTTGTACGCACAGCCAGAGTTCACCACCGTCGCGCTCTTGTCCTCCTCGTCTTCGTCAGACTCTTCGGCTGCTGCCTTGGCTGCGGCCTGATTGTCTGAAATTTGTGGGACAGGCTTCTGCTCAGCCGCTGCGCGACAAACTGCCCTGCGCAACTGAAACCAAAGTCAGTCGCCTTTTTGGTCGCAGGCTTCGCAGGAACCATCTTCTTGTCGCCATCTTCCTCCTCTTCGTCCTCCTTCAAAAGATTGCCCGGCACAACTAGCGCAAGGGTCCACAATGGCTACCTGGCCTCGGATTCGGAATCCTCTGCGGCCGTCTTGGCTTTGTCGCGGGGCACCTTGCCAGCTGTGGTTGGAGCTCTCCAGTACAACATGCGTGTGCATGCAAATGTGCAAAAACCGTCAGCCCTTTTGAGCCTGCGCGGTGCTCTTCGCCGGAGGGGGTAAGTTGCCATCCTCCTGCCAGTGCGCGCTTCTAGAGTCAATGCTTGCAGGGTCTTCCACGACTTACTTGTACGCACAGCCAGAGTTCACCACCGTCGCGCTCTTGTCCTCCTCGTCTTCGTCAGACTCTTCGGCTGCTGCCTTGGCTGCGGCCTGATTGTCTGGAATTTGTGGGACAGGCTTCTGCTCAAACCAAAGTCAGTGGCCTTTTTGGTCGCAGGCTTCGCAGGAACCATCTTCTTGTCGCCATCTTCCTCCTCTTCGTCCTCCTTCAAAAGATTGCCCGGCACAACTAGCGCAAGGGTCCAAAATGGCTACCTGGCCTTGGATTCGGAATCCTCTGCGGCCGTCTTGGCTTGGGCACGGGCCACCTTGCCAGCTGTGGTTGGAGAGCTCTCCAGTACAACATGCGTGTGCATGCAAAAGTGCAAAAACCGTCTACCCTTTTGAGCCTGCGCGGTGCTCTTCGCCGGAGGGGGTAAGTTGCCATCTTCCTGCCAGTGCGCGCTTCTAGAGTCAATGCTTGCAGGGTCTTCCACAACTTGTACGCACAGCCAGAGTTCACCACCGTCGCGCTCTTGTCCTCCTCGTCTTCGTCAGACTCTTCGGCTGCTACCTTGGCTGCGGCCTGATTGTCTGAAATTTGTGGGACAGGCTTCTGCTCAAACCAAATTCAGTGGCCTTTTTGGTCGCAGCCTTCGCAGGAACCATCTCCTTGTCGCCATCTTCCTCCTCTTCGTCGTCCTTCAAAAGATTGCCCGGCACAACTAGCGCAAGGGTCGAAAATGGCTGCTTGGCCTCGGATTCGGAATCCTCTGCGGCCGTCTTGGCTTTGGCGCGGGGCACCTTGCCAGCTGTGGTTGGAGAGCTCTCCAGTACAACATGCGTGTGCATGCGAAAGTGCAAAAACCGTCTACCCTTTTGAGCCTGCGCGGTGCACTTCGCCGGAGGGGGTAAGTTGCCATCTTCCTGCCAGTGCGCGCTTCTAGAGTCAATGCTTGCACGGTCTTCCATGACTTGTACGCACAGCCAGAGTTCACCACCGTCGCGCTCTTGTCCTCCTCGTCTTCGTCAGACTCTTCGGCTGCTGCCTTGGCTGCGGCCTGATTGTCTGAAATTTGTGGGACAGGCTTCTGCTCAAACCAAAGTCAGTGGCCTTTTTGGTCGCAGCCTTCGCAGGAACCATCTTCTTGTCGCCATCTTCCTCCTCTTCGTCGTCCTTCAAAAGATAGCCCGGCACAACTAGCGCAAGGGTCCAAAATGGCTGATTGGCCTCGGATTCGGAATCCTCTGCGGCCGTCTTGGCTTCGGCGCGGGGCACCTGGCCAGCTGTGGTTGGAGAGCTCTCCAGTACAACATGCGTGCGCATGCAAAAGGTGCAAAAACCGTCTACCCTTTTGAGCCTGCGCGGTGCTCTTCGCCGGAGGGGGTAAGTTGCCATCTTCCTGCCAGTGCGCGCTTCTAGAGTCAATGCTTGCACGGTCTTCCATGACTTGTACGCACAGCCAGAGTTCACCACCGTCGCGCTCTTGTCCTCCTCGTCTTCGTCAGACTCTTCGGCTGCTGCCTTGGCTGCGGCCTGATTGTCTGAAATTTGTGGGACAGGCTTCTGCTCAAACCAAAGTCAGTGGCCTTTTTGGTCGCAGCCTTCGCAGGAACCACCTTCTTGTCGCCATCTTCCTCCTCTTCGTCGTCCTTCAAAAGATTGCCCGGCACAACTAGCGCAAGGGTCCAAAATGGCTGCTTGGCCTCGGATTCGGAATCCTCTGCGGCCGTCTTGGCTTTGGCGCGGGGCACCTTGCCAGCTGTGGTTGGAGAGCTCTCCAGTACAACATGCGTGTGCATGCAAAAGGTGCAAAAACCGTCTACCCTTTTGAGCCTGCGCGGTGCTCTTCGCCGGAGGGGGTAAGTTGCCATCTTCCTGCCAGTGCGCGCTTCTAGAGTCAATGCTTGCACGGTCTTCCATGACTTGTACGCACAGCCAGAGTTCACCACCGTCGCGCTCTTGTCCTCCTCGTCTTCGTCAGACTCTTCGGCTGCTGCCTGATTGTCTGAAATTTGTCGGACAGGCTTCTGCTCAGCCGCTGCGCGACAAACTGCCCTCCGCAACTGAAACCATTTTCAGTCGCCTTTTTGGTCGCAGCCTTCGCAGGAACCATCTTCCTGTCGCCATCTTCCTCCTCTTCGTCCTCCTTCAAAAGATTGCCCGGCACAACTAGCGCAAGGGTCCAAAATGGCTACCTGGCCTCGGATTCGGAATCCTCTGCGGCCGTCTTGGCTTTGGCACGGGGCACCTTGCCAGCTGTGGTTGGAGAGCTCTCCAGTACAACATGCGTGTGCATGCAGAAGTGCAAAAACCGTCTACCCTTTGGAGCCTGCGCGGTGCTCTTCGCCGGACGGGGTAAGTCGCCATCATCCTGCCAATTTTAGGAAGAAATTGGACACGTAAAGACATTTTCGCATAAAGATCTTGCAGGTATCCCATCCAGGACAATCTCTGCAGGCACACTTGCCGCAACGTTATCAATTAGCTGGAATGGGTGCTTTCCTACTGCTGCAGGAGAGGGAGCAGCAGTCTAGAGAGTCTAAAGTCTTACGGAGCGATCGCATCCCAGGGCACGAGAGCCTCAGAAACCAACTGCGGAATCCTGAGTTTTTTTTTCGTGGGATCCTTACGTGGGTGGGTTTGCGTTTTCCTTCCGCGTTCCCTTGGTTTTTGGCACCCACATAAAGATCCTACAACATGTTGTTCGCTTGTGTTTTACTTACCACATAAAGATCCTACGATTTTTTCCCGCCAAGAATCCCCTGCCTAGTGGTGATGCAATTGAGGCACGACACCTACGGAATCCCCACTGTGCAGTCATGATACCCCTAAAATGAGCCCGACACACTAACAAGAGATGTCCATGCTCGCATGTAGATGAGGTAGCTCCTTCCTGGAAAGGCTGGATGATGGTGGGCGCAGATCCCCGGGGATAGGATCTTTATGTTTATGTGGCCTGTTGGTCCCCGACCAATGCGCACTTCTAGAGTCAATGCTTGCAGGGTCTTCCACGACTTGTATGCACAGCCAGAGTTCACCACCGTCGTTGTCCTCCTCGTCTTCGTCAGACTCTTCGGCTGCTGCCTTGGCTGCGGCCTGATTGTCTGAAATTTGTGGGACAGGCTTCTGCTCAGCCGCTGCGCGACAAACTGCCCTCCGCAACTGAAACCAAAGTCAGTCGCCTTTTTGGTCGCAGGCTTCGCAGGAACCATCTTCTTGTTGCCATCTTCTTCCGCTTCGTTGTCCTTCAAAAGATTGCCCAACACAGCAAGCACAGGGTCCAGTCACATGGCTACTTGGCCTCGGATTCGGAATCCTCTGCGGCCGTCTTGGCTTTGGCGCGGGGCACCTTGCCAGATGTTTTTTGTTTTCTGCGGTGTTTGGCGGTGATATGTTCAGCATTTAATGATTCGTTGAAAGACAGAAGCACACAGCAAATGAAGAAAATGGATATGTATGTCATACATGGTTGTGCATTCTGGCAGCCCACCCCCCCTCCCGCCCCTCCGCGCCCGCCCCCCCCCCACCCCCCTCCCCCCCGCCATGTGAGTGTAGTTTGGTTGTGCGTCGAGGGGTTTTTGGGTTCTGGCGTTTTAGGGCTTGGGGTGTCTTGGGCTGGATTCCGCCTAGCTGGCTGAAAGCCACTACGCGCAGGGCAAATGTCTGAAGAAATCATGATGCTAAAGATCAGCAGAAAACATGCCTCAACTCTACTTAGCTCAACGTTACGTTGAAGCCGGAGCCGAAAGATCGCAAATATACCAGCGAACGACTCAACACCGAGTCGAGGGCGAGACAACGCCCAGCGAACAACGAGAACAGACAGGACAGACAGGAAGACAGACACATACACATACACACACACACACAGGGGCCGACGACGGCATCGACATCCCCACGAACGATGGCAAAGCCAAGTAGCTTTCTGACATATCTTTAAAAGCAGTCCAAAACACTTTTGCAGCCACACACATAGCGCCGCATCAGCAGAGGTTGGGCTTTCGCGTGGCGTTGGGAGCATTTTTCCAGAAAGTTCTCCACAAATCGGAAAAGCACGTAAACCCGATTCGAGCCTTTGGGGCGCACTTGATGTTGTTGTTTTTCGCCGAAGGAGGCAAGCCATCATCGTCCTGCCAAGCTATAAACATATGAAACTTCATAAGTAGATACCGACGAACTTCAGCAACTGTCTTGCTCATGTAGTCCATTGTAGTCCTCCTGTTCGTTGGACTGCTCTCCCGCTGCCTTTGCTGCAGCCTTTGCAGCCTGCGCATCCTGCTTGCCAAGACACCGTGTGCACGGAAACCTGTGTGAAAAGCAACTCAATTGGCAATGCCAGCCTGTGTCGCAGGCTTTGTTGATTGGCCTTTTGTTTGAGCCGTCTTCTTGCCGCCATCACCCTCTTTGTGCTTGTCGCTCGGTGCTTCGATCTCGGGCTCCGTCACATCCTGCACAGGAGGTCAGCGTGCTTTATAGCGACTCTGAACCTCATCTTGACATGTTTTAGCCCTTTGACTTCAGGGACCTGACAAAGTGAATGAGGGCAAGCAGCCATTCAGTACGATCGCTACTCAAAAATGGGATGTAAACATTTGAATCCCAAGAAGCATGTAATCAAGCAACCTAGGGTGCCCAGAGTCCAAACGCTGCAGTCAACCTTAGAAAGCCTCCGATGTTGTTCACAAGACTCGAAGCTCCGATAAAAACAGTGTTTAAGCATGACTACTGCCTTGACCACCCGCATCAGAAGACACACACACACACACAGACACGAGCAAGCAGAGGACAACAGAGAAGAGACACTGGGAGCATGGGCACACAGAGGCTGTCAACAATGGACATTGAAAGCCAGCTCAGCTGCCATGTTGGCGCCAGGGAACCGATTCGGAGCTCAGCTGCCTCCGCATTTTCCGCACGGGGATCTTCGGCAACCTTCCGTGACGAAACGGAATTACCATAGGATTGAAAAACTCTTCGTTCTACTCGGTTCATCCCCGGTTGGCCACGCAGTGCAGTTTTTAACATGCTCGAGATGCATCAAGGACGCACAAAGGCAACGTGTACTGTCCCTAGCAATAATGGAGCTTTTTGTCCTGCAGTAATCATGCATTGTCACTGTCTCCAATCTCAGCCAAGGCATGACCCACAGCATTGGCAACCCACTCCATCTTCTGATTCAGTAGAGGCGTCACACTGCAGCAGTGTCTATTACAGTACTAATACAGAGCCCGCTGAGAATCCGAAAGGACAAGATCTGGCAAGAGGAATCCATATTCCCCGGTTGGACAACTCTTGGTGGCGCCCAGATGTAAAGCTTGACATGCAACTCGTCAAGCCGAGGGACGACTCCCCTTTCAAGGCCTTGCCCTTAGTTTTGAGAAGGTGGTCGCATTCAGTGCAAAAATACATTTGACAGTAAAACAAGGTGGGAAGTGTGTTCGTGGCGCCCTTCGTTGGCTACCATGCAACGTGGAAGAATGTATGCGCCTGCTAGGCTCCTCCAGTGTCTCCAGGCAAATTCGAACCCCCTCTGCAGCAAAGCATCATTGAGCTAACAGCAAAGAACGTGTCCCAAAACAACTTGTCTTAGCTCTTTATTTAGAGCGGAACACTCAAAGTGGAAAGGAAAGGAACTGCGAAAGGAACTCTCTTTTCGCCCACCCGCGTCACCTATGCCAACACCCCAAAACCCTCACGAACATGAACAACACCTCACCTTAAAAACTCCTTGTGCTCTTTCCGGGTGGCATGGCTGGGCAGTCGTGAATTCCGCCGGCTCCGCGCAGATTGTATGGCTTGCAAGCGGAGAATCTCACCTCGGCTGGAGTACTACGTATAGCATACGGCTTGTGGATCGCCAAGCCAGCTAAGTAGCTGCGTACATCCAGTATGATTATCAAGCTGCTCGAACCCCCTGGCGCCGAGACTGGACTCTTTGTTTGTCTCCAGCCCGTGCTACAGTGTGTGTGTGTGTGTGTGTGGGTTTGTGGGTTTGTGGGTTTGTTTGTGGGTTTGTGGGTATGTGTGTGGGTATGCGTATGTATGTGTGTGTGTGTGCGCGCGTGCGTGTGTGTGCGTGTGCGTGTGCGTGTGCGTGTGCGTGTGCGTGTGCGTGTGCGTGTGCGTGTGCGTGTGCGTGTGCGTGTGCGTGTGCGTGTGAGTGTGCGTGTGCGTGTGCGTGTGCGTGTGCGTGTGCGTGTGCGTGTGCGTGTGCGTGTGCGTGTGCGTGTGGGTGTGGGTGGGTGGGTGGGTGGGTGGGCGGGCGGGCGGGCGGGCGTGCGTGCGTGCGTGCGTGCGTGCGGCGGGCGTGCGTTTGCCGGGCCAACTTTTGATGTTGCATCAACACCGCTTGGAATTTCGCGTCCCGGACAAGGTTCCACGATTTCTTGACTTATGAGCCGCAGAGCTCACAGGAAAGCTGGTCCAGCCAACATGTTCCACAAAATTAGGCATTCTAGAAAAAAGCTGACAAGGCCAACCTTTTCTAAAACTTCCATATTTTTGACAAGTATCAGGCCGGAATTTCATGTCAAAAGTTGATAGGGCCAGCTGTTTCAGCGAATGTCCCATTGAATTCCACGGTTGTTCCAAAAAAAGAGCCCAAATTTCGGGGAAAAGGTTGGTAGTGCCAACATGTTTCTAAAGTCGCCTAGTCATGTCAGAATTTCTAAGTCGCCTAGTCATGGTTAGAACAAACCATGGAGATCTTGGGAACTTGTTGGCCTGGTGCACAATTTTCACGAATACCTCTTGCAATTTCTGCAGCGCTATCTCTGATGAGCTGCACTCCGAGCGCGAGACGAAAACATGAGCCCGATGCACTTAAAGCGCAACTAGGGAAACAGGTACCGAGCGCAACAGCCCCCAAATTTCGGAGACCCAGCACTCCGGCAGCAGCGAGGCTTCCACTATGAGATACAGGTCCTGACTCCACAGCCCCTGGAAGCTGGTCGGCATTGCCGAGGGGACCACACTCATAAACAAGCGCACGTGACATACTTCCTGCAGTTTCGTGAAGACATTCTGTAAGAGCAAACTCTTTTCAAGATGCCTATCTCTTTTCGAACGATGAGCCCAGATTTCGTGGCGCGAAATCGCCAACTCATGGTGTATACAAATCACGGACATATTGGCCAGGCCAGCATGTTCCACGAAAACATCTTCGAAGCTGGTAAAACGTTTCTCGCGGAAACCGTGGGTATGGCCAACTTTTCTTGAATCGAGGGCTCATAGCTTAATCGTGGAGATTATGGAGCAAGTCTCCTCGAACGCCCCTTTGAATTGCGTGGAAAAAGTTGGTGTGACCAGCTTTTCCAAAGTTCCCATGCTTTTTGAACCATGAGATCCGGAATGACCCGGCTTTCGTGGAAACAGTTGGTGTGGCCAATTCCTTCCACGAGATAGGCGGTTCATAGTTCAACAGATCTTGGCGTGGCCAACTCTTTCCACGACTAGGCGTGGCCAACTTTTCCAAAATATCCAGGGACGACCCAGATTTCGAGGACAAAGTTGGTGCGGCCAACGTTTTCCACGACATCGAATCCACAGTCATAAGAATCGAAACCAACTCTGTCCACGAAATCGCGCTTCATAGTATCAAAATCGTGGAAGATGTTGGATAAAGTCTAGTTGGTGTGGCCAACTTTTTCCACAACTACCTCGTTGAATTTCGTGGAACAGTGGGTGTGGCCAACTTTTTCCGAACAATTCACGGACTTTCGAACTACGAGACCCGAAAGACCGGAATTCGTGGAGAAAGTTTGCACAGCCAGCCTTTTCCACGAAATTGCCGGTTTTAAGAACAGTGGAAAAAAAGGCTCGGTTCGCAGTTTCAACAATCGTGGGCAATGTTGGAAAAAGTTAGTCTGGCCAACGTTTTCCACGACTCCTTGAATTTCGTGGAACATTCATTGGGTATGGCCACCTTCTCCAAAATCCATGCTTATTGGCACCCTAAACCCATTTTACAAACGCTTCTAAGACCTAAACCACTATGAGACCCGGACTTCGTGCAAATAGTTGTCGTGGCCAACATTGGTGCGGCAAGCCTGTTTCCACGACTGCTATGGGACAAATGTGTGGCTAACCTTGTCCAACGATGCTGTGTGAAAAAGTTGGCTTTGGTAACTTATTGCACATGATGCTTCAGATGGGGGGGGGGGGGTTGAATTGATGGCGTGTTCTTATGATTACTTTAAGATCTTGGATGCTTCGTGCTGAGGCTGAATTGGTTTGTGACACCAAATGGTATTTTATGCCGGTAGTTCAGCTACTGATATGTATGCTGTAGCGGACACCGATATCGATATTAATAGGGGCTCTTGAGTGGGTTATGAATGTAGCTTCAAATAGACTGCTGTATTCACATGGCCCCCAAATAGAGGACTCTCAGCCTAGACAAACTGTAGAGTCAAATGAGTGAGACTTTCTCCCCACTCACAGACTAGACATACTTTGAAATCCAGTATATGACTACAACCGATGAAGCCGGTTGCTTCAACTTCATTGCTATCAGGGGCTAGCTACTTGTCGCAATTATGGGCTACTTATCTTCGTTGAATGGACTGTCAAAGAATACCCTCAATTAATAGTGTTTGTAGATAGAACGTATAAAAACAAACTTAGTTGTATTACTTCACCCAAGTTGGGAATATTATGTTGGAACAAACCTGGCGAACAAAATTATATCCGAATTGAGTTCCGTCCAAGGAGCTCGTGAGAAAATGCTGTTGACACTCACAGCTCTGAGATACCAGAAGTAAACCCCAAAATCTAAGTCTGAGTCTTAAGTAAGGCCCCTTCTATACACGGGTTGTGGCTTCAGGATAATGGGACTGGCGGGGTTTCTATGCGCTTTGTTCCTATTTCTCCCCCACCCCCGATGGTTTGAGTGTGCCCACAGCACGAGCACGCAGACAGGCCCGCGACAGGCGTGACAAACAAGCAAGCGAGGCTGGACTGGGACTGGACTGGGATGATTGAAGCTTGCAGCGAGCACACGGAACGGCATCGTCCACATGGGGATGCTTGGAGAGTGTTAACTCCAACTGCAAAGTGTGGACTAAACAAGGGATGAACGCAGCATTCTCTCTCTGTCATTAGGCATGCGGCTGGGATCCTTCACGCCATACTCCTCTGTCGACTCAAACCGCAAGCGCTTGCGGTCATCTTCTGAATCACTCTCGGCCTAAGACCCAAAGGCCACAAAGAACATGACAAGGAATGGAAGCGCTGCTTACCGGAACATTACACCAATGCTGCGTGCTGTAGCCGATCCTGGAGAAATAGACCCTTCTCCGACACTTGTAGGCCAAGCAGCGGAACGCTTTAACGAAGCCGCAGGCCTTTCCTGCTGCCTCCCGTTTTCTCTCTTGCTACCTGTCAGTTCATGATGGTCCCCCGAACCAACAACAGCACAAAGAAAGGTAAAACTAGGTGCCCAAGACGGCCTACTTCCACATGCACAGCAGCAACCGAGCTGCTGTTGGATTCGCCCGCTGCTTTTGCCTGAGCAATATTCATGTTTCTGCATGATTCCTGGCAACCACATGGTGCAAAAAGAAAAGAACTGTGTGCAAGATGACTTGCTGTACCCAACTCTCATGCAGATCACGGTGCCTTTGGGCCCGACATGCCAAAGTGCGACGGGCTGGGGCTTGCCGACAAACGGACTCAACAGACCACCCTGGCTAATGCGACAAGGTTGCCTTGGCCTTCGCTTGCGGCCTGCCCTTTGTCTTCACGACAGCCATTGCCGCAATGCCAGGCTACATCCCGTTGTTACAGAAGCAGCATCGTGTGAGTCACATCGTGTCACACTTGAAACTCCCGCGCTTTGACAAGAAAGGTAAGAAGCCATAGATGCTAGGATTGCCAAGCCCAGCTGCTATCAAGAAACAGCTGCACAGCACAGAGGGGCTTGCCCGCAAGTGGAAAAGCAGAGCCACACTGCAACTTGAAAGCCACCCATCAAAAGCTAGGCCTCTATTGTCGGATATCCTGTGTTCGGGATCTCTTGGCGTTCTCTCACCTGCAGGTACACTCCTCCTGTGTATGAGCACCCAACTGTAGTACATTGTACAGAATAGTATAGAGCAAGTGGCCCTTGGTTTCTGCCTCGGTCAAGTGGCTGCGCCACTGTGGCCTCCAGGGCCCAGCAAACAGGTCGAGTCCCCATGAAGGAGCCATGTCCCAGCTCAGCCAACCGTCATTTCTTTTCTGATCTTCGGTCTATGCCAAAACGATCCAGCACTTTGAGCCATCGTGGCTGGCGACACACGAAGTGCTGGCAACCCATCTTGCGTCACTGTGGGCACGTCGCTTTTTTCCTTCAGCCAACACTTCTTGCCGCGATGGGCCTCCGATAAAATGCGATATACCTCATGGGCGCAGTACAATTTCGTTGTTGGCGTGAAGACATCCGTACGCAGGGATAAATGTAATCTTGCGATTTGGTGGACTTCGTTTGGATTTTCTTCTGGGTTTAGGTTTCGACTGAGTCAAGTCCGGCTGCTTTCTGCTTGTTCGAGCGCAGTGCTTCTAGGGAGGTAAGGCAAGAGACAGCGAGGGACACGAGGCCTTCAAATCTCATACGCATTCCAGACAGATGTTGCATGCTGAAGATATCAGCATCGGGAGTGGCTTCTATGATAGCGTCATGCGCAACATCTGCTAAGGGTTCGAAGGGGAAGTTCTGTTGCCACAAGTGGTATGTGGAGTCGAAACAGAAACGAAGCATTTGCTGGTCGTCGCGACGCGTGTTACGGTGCGCGCATGTGTCTGCCAATGGGCTTGTACCTGTACCAATGTTTAAACATACATAGCTGCCAGCTGAAGATTTTAGGATGTCACACTTGTATGTCCAAGGTTTTATGCTTGTCCAGTCCCTCAAGTAAGTTGCTAAGCAGCATGTCGCATCAAGACATGACTGGCTGCGATGATTTCAGAGGATGCCAAAGTCTGGGCGTGCGAGACCCCAAGCTGCTTGCAACTCGGTCGCGCTTCCACCCGAAGGACATCTTCTCGCTGGCAAGCGGTGGTGCGAGCATCGTCCAGCAAGAACCAAGCCTGCGGCTACATAATGATAGATATTGACCTCTCTACATAGATATCTACACATATGACATATGATATTGCCAAAAGTGCTGTTGATGATCTTAGCTGCCGCAGCCATCTGGAGCAGCACCATGCCGCACCTCCTCTTCCAAACTGGGTCCCGTGTTGACAAAAGCCACGTAGTGCCCGCGCTCCATGCTGCCGCCCAGGTGAGCGCAAACAGCGTAGAGCTCCTCAGTAGGACCAAAACTTGGAGCTAAGTAAGAATCAAAGTAGCAAAGTAGCAAAACAAGGGGTGCAAAAGGAACCGGTGTCTGAACAGCTGCGGGTCATAGATGCTCGATTCATGTGGACTGCAGGCTGGAAGTTTCGACTCAGGTGCTGTAAACGGTTGCAGCCTCGGCTGCGATGCAACATGACACACGCATCGCTCATCCCTGTTGGGCTCGACAACTCAGAGGCCGTGGCTCGCGCTGCTCAGCTTCTGTGAGCATCAAGATGCTCAGGTCCAAAGTGCTGGTGGTCTTGATTTTCGTTTTCGACTTGTGGTATGAGCCCTGCTGGCCATGGAATCCTCGGCTGCGGTAGAAGGTTGACCTGCCAACACTAGACAACCAACATACCAATGCACCAGTCTGACTTTGAAGATCCGGCTTCTTTTCAGCTGGACCGGGACCACAGGAGGCAGAGGCGGGTTCAGCCAGGCGCGCTTGGAGGCGAAGCACCTCGATGACTTGTCAGTGCCTGGGTCACTTGTGCGGCAACATTGATGCAACGCAGCAGCCCGGTGCCCACTGTGGATTCTTTTCTAATGTCATGTGGTGTCAGCGATCATTAGCAAACCATGGCGCCGCCGCAGCGCACGCAGTTGTAGATGGGGGCGAAGTTTTCCTCCAAGGCCTCCACGGAGCCCAAGTTCCTGAAAAGGTCCCAAGAGTGCAAACCAAGTCAAACTAACCGAGGGAAACAGGTGGACGATCTTTAAAGTCTTTAAACTGACTTGAAGTAGCTTCCCCATGCTATGTGGCCTCAGGCAGTCTGCCAAAGTGGCGGCTGCCCGCGGGGCCGCCGCAAAGACCTGGGCCAGCGCCGTGGGCATCGCAGCCTCGCAGGCGCCGGCAGCCTCGACGAAGACGGGTACAGCCATGTACAGCTATTCAATGTTAAAAGTTACTGTAGCAGATTCTGTGTACTAGTACAGTACGAGATGATGCATCATGATGCACTCTCAGGCACCTCCAGCATACACTTTCTCTTGTTCTCCAACTCCGGTGAAGGCCGTACATTTGGCATGCCGGGGCTTGCGGCGCCCGAGACGGTGGTGCGCATTGCCCTGACCGCAGCCTGCAAGCGGCTGGGGATTTACGGAAGGCTGCTGAAGTGCTACATTTGTTGGATCATGCTGGCATGCCACCAAATTCCCGGGTTGAAGTCCTGTCTCTCCTTGGATCGTCGCAGCTTGAATGTCTGGCTGCCACTCGTAGGTGGCGTGTCCAGGGCAGACACATCAACCAAGGTATCCCCAGCTTCCACACACAGGTGCTCTTCACCTGCCAACGCACGGACTTGCAACCGCTCCACGCTCAAATTTCAGCACCCATGCAGGGGCTACAAGGCCCTTGCAGCTGGCATCCCCGCCTCGTGACCGACTCACTATGTTCCACATCGCCAAGGGCGAGCCATCTAGTATATTCCTGACCTCCGCGGCTCCTTCCAGCTGGAAGCCCCAGTTGCTTTCTGCACCCGGCGAGATGGGCTGTAGCTCAATCACGAAGGTCGAGTCTGAATCTTCGTCAGGCGTGTCCGCTTGAGGGCTAGCCTTCTTTGCCTCACCGCGCTCCATATGCAAGACTATTTTGCGTTTGGAAAGGTCGGTCAGGCTTCCGGACATCTCTTCCACATCATCATATCCATTCACATCCAGCACCCGGTCACCAGCCTCAGCCGAATGTTGCCAACTGCCACTGGCTTCTGAAGGGCAGCCGAATCCCACTGAAGCATTACTTTAAGTACCGGGCCCGGACGACCGCATTGCGCTTACCCGAAGACTGGCACCGCAGGTTCCAGGCATCCAGTATCGAGTCTGGAAGCACGTGGGCCACTACGACCAGGCCAGCTTCCAGCGCACTGCGTTCCAGCTGAAGTCCCCAAGACACTTTGGAATCTCTGGCCTTGGATGTGGCATTTTGTGCTCATGCCCTTCTCTCTCCTACTGAAATAGTAACTCCATAGTAAGGTTTCGGCGCAGCAGGCAAAACTCCAAAAGGACTGACATATTAATCCCATCTTTCACCCAGCATCGAGCACCACACGGAAGCCATTCGCGTTAACTGAGGAGCCGCGCGCTGCCACTGCGTCTGCTGTAGCAAAACGAAGCAGCAGCCGCTGATCGTCTTTCAGTGCCTCATTGCTCATTGCTCCCCCCCTGGGGTTCGACATGTTTGTGGAGATGTGGGGGACTTGACTGCAGATTGTTTGGGCATAGCATCACCGGTGCCCACACAAATTGCCGCACAGCAACCTGCAGCATTTCATCGTGGTCTTCCTTTCCTGAGGCTTAAGACATGTGGCGGTGACGGAAGCATTTCTGCACATCACCGACGCCAAGACGCCATTGACTGAGAGGAGGAGAAGCCCTGGACATACGCGCCGGTCTGGACTTTGACGCTTGTTCCAAGTATCCACCATGGATCCGTGCATGATTCCTGATCGAAGCATATAGCAACTACTCCTAGTGATGATGAGCACCGGCTTCAAGAACAATAGCAGAAGGGCGCTGAGGTCAGTGCGGCGCAACACCTTGCAACCATGCTGTTGGGCATCGGCCCAATCCAAGCCTAAAGCGATCCTTCGTCCAGGTACTCGTTCCTCGTCAGGGACTCACCCAAAGCGAATGGCAACTGCACGCCCTGCCAAGCTTCGGTTGCCAACATGAACTCATAGGTCAGGAAGTGCGAACATTTATTTATCTATCTATATGCTGCAGTGATTCCAATTGCACTTCAAGTGCAGCGCTGTCGAACTCATCTGCCACCGGCTTTGGCCTTGAAACGCTAGTTGGATGGTTGGACAACAAGCAGTTTTTAATGCCTTGATGATGACGAATCTAATTCATGACGAATTACTAAACTACTCATGACTGAACCAACATGAACTGATCCAAGTCACTCCTCGGCTTCCTCCGGGGCCATCGCCTGATCTTCTTCTTGCAGAGTTTTGTCTTGCAGCGGCTTCCTCGGTCGTTGAAATCCCGAACCCTGCCTATGCAGAATCGCGGCAGGATAGAAGGAGGCTGCCCAAAACCTAGTCAATGAAATCATCCCAAGATCCTGGACACGCTTAACGCTTGCCGGTTGCCAATTCATGCACCCAACGTTCCCGGATGCAGCTTAAGTTAACATCAAGTAGGACCCTTGCCCCCAAATGATGGGAATCAGGTGAAAAGATGACAAAGATAGCAGCGTTGCCGCCCCCATCTAAAAGCAGCAAAATGGCATGACCCAGCCATGAAGACCCAGTGGGCCGGGGTCGTCCTCGCCGGCAGCGACGTCTAAGGACAAGTCCTTGATGGTGGTTTCAACCACAAGAGGCAGCATCTGGTATGCAATCACACCTGCAGCAGCCAAGGTTCCAAAAACTCTTCGTGGCGCAGCGTGATCTGCCTTGGTTCTCGGCTGGTGTGGGTATTTCGGACAGCCCTGGCACAAACGAGGTAACAGATCTTTGAAGCACAGCGTAGATCCGCACTTATTCACATTTCCGGAATCCGGATCAAGGCGTTGGACCTGCAAGACCAGCATAAGATGGCTTCGCAGATCTGTCCTTTGAAGCTCTTGTGCACCACTTGCTGCAAGCCTGAAGCGAAGAGTAAGTCATTAGTCGATGCCAGCTTGTGGCTTGGACATGATTAAATTAGCCTGGGTTCACATTGTTGTCATCACTGGCTTGCTTCCGGCGGATCTTGCAGGAAGCACTTGCAGCAGTGATTTGAGCGACATACCGTAGGATCCTAATCCGCCGAGGCCTCGGGCCGAAGGTGTATAGGTTGTGAGAACAGACACCCCCTCCAAATCCTCCTCGGACCCCTTTTTTTGCCTCAAATGGGTACCCCCCTAGGACACCGGGGTCCGCAAGCGGACAATTCAACCCCCCCCCCCCCATACCCCCACCCCTACCCCACTCCCTGTTGTCCTGGAGCGACTGGCTTGAGGGCCCGAGGCTCAACTGACTGGTGTGAGCACGGCCGGGGATGCATTAAGTGACACGAGCCGAAGAGTCTAAGCTTGAACCTTGAACTCGAAGCTCCAAACCCCTTTTGCAACGAGCTTGGCTATGCTCTCGGCCGGCTTGGCTGTCCCAATACCCTGTACTCCTGACAGGGCTCCAAACCCCTAAACCCTAAACCCTCAACCTTAAGCCCTAAGCACTCAACCCTCAAACCCTCAAACCCTCAACCCTAATCCGCCCAGGCCTCGGGCCGGAGGTGTATAGGTTGTCAGAACAGGCACCCCCCTCCAAATCCTCCCCACACCCAAAGCCCTTTTTCGGACCCCTTTTTTTGCCTCAAATGGGTACCCCCCTGGAAAACCGGGGTCCGCAAGCGGACGGTTCGCCAGGACCAGAGGCCCCTCCCAGCAGGACCTGGCTCAACCCTACCCCAAAGCTTGAGCCCTAAGCCCTCAATCCTAAACTAACCCTCAACCCTAAACCCCAAACCATAAAACAATAAACCCGGAACCCTAAACCCTAAACCCAACCCTTATTGCTTGGGGTCCAGCGACTTGGGCGCTGTGGAATCACCATGCTCACGCGGATGCGCTGGGCCGGGCCGAGGCGGGTCGCGTAGCGTTGAAAGCTCTGCCACGCCATGCTACTGTAGGGTGCTGCGGATGCCGCGAGCATGGGCCAGGCCGAGGCGGGTCGCGTAGCGTTAAAATTAGTTCGATAGGCCATCCCGCGCATCATAAGTCCGAGTAGCTCTCCTGGTCCTCTGGAGCCTCCAGCTCATCTGCAACAGCACCCAAGAGGGTTCGGAGGAGCTCATGCGCATCCTGCTGTGACTTGCTTTCGTACCAGCGATACCTCACCGAAGGCCGAGGGCTGTGCTGCAGTGAACTGCGTCGTTGGTGCTAATCTTTAAGGGCCTGCCGGCGAGCTCTCCCAAGACTGCTGCCACGGAGGGCTGGTCTTGCCCCATGGATCGCAGCTTGGTGAGGATGCCGTTGAGCTCGTGTCCTCAACCATGTCAATGGCCTTCTCTGGTTGCTGTATCGAGCACTGCGGGGCCCATGCAAACAAAGCAAGTGGCTGGCACAAGGTGGCCTATGCGACCCAGTCGACGGTCGTGGCCAGCCAATTCTAGCGTGAAGTTTTGAGTCTGCCTTGGGTCTATACAGGATCTGTCCCATACTGAGATGGGTAGCTCGTCCAGACGTGGGCCATACCGAATCAACAGCGTGTTGGAAACACGGCTCAGACCACCGGCAATGCCGAGCCACGCCAGACACTGCAGAATTGAACCGAGGTAGCACGTGTTGCCCAAATTCGCCAATCCTTTGGGGATCGCTGCCTCGCAGCTGAAGGCAGGATATGTTAAGCAGGATTCCTTCTCTCAAGTCACAGAGCCTCCTCACCGGCAAGTCGTGGAGGCGGCTGGAATTCGGTGGGGGCCTGGTCCGACAGAATACAATGGAACAAGGGACCACGTGGAACATACACCACAGTCTCCTAGCTGAACATATGGCCGCATGTGAATAGAGGCTGCGACATTGGTTGCCTGGGCAGCTCTCCTGAGTAGCATTCTTCAAAATGCTGGCCACAAGCGCCATCCTTGGCCACTCCTAACCTGCCAACAGGGCCGAGGCTCGCAGTCACATGAGCTTCTGCAAGCATGTCTTGCAACTCCTTGCAAATGACGAGGCAGTTTCCGTTGCGACGTGCTGTGCCACAATGTCCATCCGAAATCACCTCGCAACCTCTCTGCCGCCGTCCTTGCCCGTGAGGGCGCGCAAGAGCTCTTCTGGCGCCTGTCCACCTGCACTCAAAATCAAAGACATGTCAGCACAGGCTTGCGCTGGCAGCAAAAAAGCTTGTGAAATTGCTGAGCGCTGCGCCCAGAATTCGGCGGATCTCCCCTCGGAGGACCGCGGCCCCATCGCCCCCATCATCCAGGGCTGGTCCACCAGCCATAGTTGGGCGCTTGTTCTAGAGGGATTGCCTACAGTAAGCTCTACTCTACGCATCTCTCGGCTCCCAAAAGGAGCCCTCTTTTGGCAGATGATTGCAGCCTCACCCGACAGAAACCGTAGTTGCCGTAGTTCGCCCTCAACTACGCGCAACTGGACAGCCACATGCGTGGTACTTGCAGTTTGGTCTGGTTGCCGCAGCAAGCTGCCGAGAGTGCTAGAGAGCCGGTGCTATATGCGCTGAAGCAAACCTCAAGAATCTGGAGTTCCCAAATGGCCCCGTCCCCATCACTCAACAATCTGAGCCTGCGGCACACGGTCTAAGCCTTATGCGGGCAAGAGCACCAGATCATTCCCAATTCTCAGCTCGTTCATGCACTTGGCTTACTCATTACCTGGAATGGCTTTCCCAAGGTCGATGTGCTACTTACCTGTTGGTGCCAGGCAAGAACCAGGTCGTATCCGGAGCATCGCCCTAGCAAAGATTGCCGTGATCGTGAATGTACACAGCATGCCTGCTCGGACCTAGAATCTAGCTCTGGAGTGCAGTGGTGTTTGCAAACGCGGCTAACATGCACGCAGCTCCCTCATCTTATCTTTCGATGTCGAGATTCTGGCGTATGATACACAAATATGATTCAGGTTCAGTTTCTTGGGTGCGACATCAAGGTGCCCCTCACAAAACATCAAAACTAGCATCAACTCCTCCATGCCGAGCCAACCGAGGATGTTAACAGCATGTGCCTCCCTTGGTTACATGGGAAACGAACAGGTCAGGAAGGTGCCACAACTTGTAGACCCTAGACTCTAGACTTAGATCGAACGCGAACCGAGATAAAACCAATCGACTCGGCCACATGACTCACATGACCCACCTGCGGCTCAAGAAGCGGCAGCTTCCAAGACTCCCAATTTGCTATGCACCCATCCAGTGGAATGTTCATGCAAGTGTCAAGTCTTCAGTGATGGCTACGTGCTAGCTCTGCGTCGTGGCTCACCAACAGCTCCCACTGAGCTGCCGTGCATGCACTCCAGATGACATCAGTACGCATGCTCCCCCCTACTATAGATTGCCCATGGCGGAATGAGACCTACCGGGGTTTCGTGTCGCTACTGTACCGCCGTAGACCGTTGCCGCACAACCTGCTTGCTGCCTCGAGCTGCAAGGACAAGCCTTCTGCTACATCTGTTGCCTTGCCGTCTTACACGGTCCCAACGCTAAGGCTCAAGGCTCCCATCCCCAATTTCTTTCCTGGAGCAGCGCAACCACCATGCAACCAGGAGCTTGGCTCACATCTGGTTGACTTGGCAACTTGACCGCTACTATAGGCCTCGGATCCAGACACGGCTATTGAAAACGGGTCTCTCAGAGATATCGGGTTGTAGCATGGCCTTCGTTAGCAGGTGGAACCTTTGGATGCGCACCTGCGGTGAGACCTGCAATTTCTCCAGGCTCCTCATGATTCCTCCTCTATGGAGAGACCGCCGCCTCATTATGTGCAACATCGCACAAGATCATTGCGATCGCTGTTTCACTGATGGTGATGGGCAGATTTGAGAGTCCGACTTCCAGCACCTCGAACTTGACCGTGGCATCGCTTGCCAAGGACTTCTGCCCTGAACCACCTCATGTCAGGATTGCACATCGGACTCTGTGAGGCTGGCTATCCCCATGTGAATTTCCAGCCCACGGCCCCGGCCCAAACAGTCCACAGATTGCAGGCTTGTGGACCTGCATTGGCATCATCTATGGACACAACAAGCAACAAAGAAGAAAAAGAAAGAAGAATAAGAAGAATAAGAAGAGTAAGAAGAGTAAGAAGAATACTAAGTAGAACAAGAAGAACAAGAAGAACAGAACCAAGAGCAATAACAACAACAAGAACAGGAACGGCAACGGCAACCACAAGAACAAAACCATGACAATAAACATAGCCAAACATATAGAGTAACAGTTAACAGTACCGATCGCAAGAACAAGAACGCTAACAAGAGTCATGTAGAGCCAGATCACCAAAAAAAACAATTAACAGTTGACGATCACAAGACCAGCAATACCAGCAACAATAAGACAAACAATAGCTGGAAGATGCAGAAACCAAGCTGCGAACGCTCGGTGGGGAGAAATGGCACCAAGCTTGATCAGCTCACGCCTACGCGATGCAAAGCAGTGCCAAGCCATTTTGCGGAACGAGTCATGCCAAGGCGGTGCCGCCTTTTTGGTTGCACCCACTGGGCCCTTTAAGGCTCCTACTTCACTGGCGTTTTGTGGCCCTTGGGGTGCTGCTCCCACACCTACCAGAGCGAGACATGTCATGCGGGATCCAGGCAGCCGCAGCCAGAATTGCTCAGACTGCTCCGCCTGTGCCAGGTATGGCTCCGCGTCAGGCCAGGTATTCGCCTTGTGACTGCATGCGCTGCCAGAATGACTGCGAGCTGCGGCGGTCACGACACGAGGGCTTTTCGGGCTTTGAGGCACTTGCAAGGAGGCGGCCAGCCGACTTGGAGCCCCAAGAGTTGGCCTTACCAGGCACTTGGGGCATTGGAGGAATCAGACAACAAATCTCCAAGCCGCAAGCGAACTGGACACCTCCCAGAATGCTGCCTCCGAGGCTCATTCCAGTCAAGCAGATGCAAACTCAAAATACGGCACGAGCAGCTTGCCACAGCTTTTGCCACTTTGCGCTCTGAAAATGAGTCACCAGATGTCACATGGCGCGCGGTGCCTCCGGCATACACGCCGACACCACGGGCAGACTTTCCCGTGCGGGCCTTGGATGCGTGGACCCCGTGAGCCAGAGAAAGACCCCAGTTGAGACACCAAGAGCCAGGCTAGGCTTCCATCCAAATCGATGGTGGCCTTATAGGTTCAGGGCTTCATGGGCTCACGCCACGAAGTTGTAACACCTGGGCCTCATTTTGGCGTGCTGACTGCCGCTCAGTTCCATGCCAAACTTCCAGAATTGCTGAGTCCGAGCCTTCGCAGCAACTCACAGACTCACAGGTGCTGCAGCAGTGATCTACGAAACAGCTGGAATCTGATTTCAGGCAGATGCTTGGGTTGTTCCACCAGGTTGAGCTCGTAGCATCGCCTCTGAGAGTTGAGCTGCTGCTGCTGCTGAGGAAATATGCACCACAACTCGCCCAGACATGTCCAGACAACCACTGGAGTCACTGGAAAGGCCGAGATGGGTGCCCTGTCTTGTTGAGTTCTTCATCCTGCTTTTGGAGGCCACGCCCTTTGCAAACGATGGGCCTCAAATGTCAACAAAGCTCAACAACTCTTGATCATGGACCTGAGCATAGGGACACATCGCACTGTCGCACAACTCAGGCCGCAGCTCGTCTTGCAAGCCCTTCCCCGGGCCATTCCCCACCTTGGCAAAAGCCACGAATAGACGTCTTGAGATGTCTCGACTCAAGAAGGTGTAAGTCGCCTGCGCACTTGTCTTCAAAGACCTGACGGGAAAGACAAAGGCACAAGTCTCCCACCATCGCCTCAGCCTACACCACAACTGAACACACCGCAACACACGAGTGCTGCAACCCACGCAACCCACCGCTCCGCTTGATTTCCACTTCGCCAAGCTTTCTCCCAACCATCCAAAGATAGCCGGGAATAAAAGGGGGGAGACGAAAGCAGCCCGACGAAATCTCAATCAGCAGGACAACGCAACTCGCAGAGCCAGCCCAGCTGATCAGCTGCTAAAGCTGCTAATTAAGCCTTCGACCGCAGTTTGAGGGGCTGATTCATGGGAATGGGCTCAAAAGAGTTTCCACGACGTCAACTGCGAGTCTTCCGGAAAAATCGAGCATTCTTGGAATTCATGTGTGAGTATTGTGGGTTCGTCCGTTGACAGGACATTCCCAATATAGGGTGGAATTGACGATGCTGAATGAAGTTGATTCATGATATTCTTGGAATCATACGATCCGGTAAAATCTCGGACTTGCCCTTCCATTGTCGAAGTTCTGTCCTGAAAATGCAAAGGCTGCAAAGGGTCCTGGTTAATGTTGTACGCGCCTAGTCGGGGTTCCTGAATAAAGTCAAGTTTGCTGGGCTGGGGCGGCAAAAACTATAGCGCGCCTTTAGACAAGAATTGCCGGCCCTTGCTGCCCCTCTCAAATTCATATAACCTCATATAACCTCCTCCCTTGAAAAAGCATCTATACAATTCCGGGACCGTTTTGAAGCTATTGCACACCATGTCTATCTTCCCGGCTAATCTCAGCCCTGGCAGTCACCGCAAATTCA